TTTTTTTTTTTTTTTTTTTTTTTTTTTTTTTTTTTTTTTTTTTTTTTTGTGAATAACTTCCGAATTTGAGTAATTTGAAAATAATAATATGTCCATAAAAGAAAAAAGCACCACTAGAATATCTGAAATAAATATATTTTTCAAGCGTCCCCCGGGAAGTATTAATATACGCAACACGGAGGATATATTATGGGTAAATATTATTTATCGTTGTTGGGGATTTCGGGAATTCCCTACGAAAGTCTTACACAAAAGACTAAATCAAATAGTCATAAAATTGAGAAGTGCCAAATTTCGTCATCTGGCTTTTATAAAGACTGAACCTTTTATAAAGAATTACCGAGGCAAAAATTTCGAATACTCTTTTCGAGATAATGATTTTTTGTAGAAAATTTATTTCAAGTATAATATGTATATTAATACATATTTCCGATGTTGTAAAAGGGTCGAGAAGGTAAGGGGTAGAGAGAAGAAAATGTCGAATGACGGTAAAAATGCGGGCAGAAATGATAGTTCCGCCATTTTAGAGGCATTTAAGGCGCAGTTAAAAGAGTGTCAGTATTTCTTTAGTTGTTATTGTCGATAGAAAAGTCATGAATGTACAAGAGATCGTTAAATATCTTATGGGAGCCATCGTGGCTGTCATTTTACTTGGCGTTATGAATACTACAGCTGATGTATCGGTGATTTTTTAAAGATTTCTCTATCATATATTTTACGTTATTCAGTAATAAATGTACTATTTCAATTGTTATATTATTTTCAATTTGTTTAAATTATTAAATCAAATTTAATGCTTCTATTATTTATACTTGTCAGTATATAATAAATTATTAATTTGTGTTTTTATAATAGACGCAATTATTATTTTATAACTTTGGCAAACGATGTCCGTCAAGTTAGTAAGGATTATTTCTTGAGATATAAAATCGTTTACGTAAAAAAGCCTTGTGTAAATTCCGCGTAAATTCACCTTGTAACCTCGATGCAAATACTCACTGTACATGAGCAGAGATATTGTGATAATAATTAAATTTATTAAATATATTTTATATAAAATATTTTCATCGATTAAGCACTCGACTAACCTGAGAAATCCAAAAGGATTATTCGATATACTACTCGGCAAGTATAGACCATGCATTAGTTGCAGTAAGTGTACAATATAATTAAAGTAAAATTTCCATTTTCAATCGCCTTATTATCGATTATCGTGGGAACTTTAACTTCGCATTATTAATTTCAATCTAGTGTGCGGAAAATCGAATCGCGGAGGTGCAAGATTTTTAGGTGGTGAATACACAGATACACATGAATTCCCGTGGCTTGCCAATATACACCTAAAAAAAAAGTCTGTAGTGAGCGGTATATTAATCAATGATCGTTATATATTAACAGCAGCGAGTCAACTAATAAAGTAAGTTATAAAATAGCATATACTTTGATCTGCAAATATAGGTTTTCAATAATTAAGCATGAATAATATTATTAATTGGCGGAACATATTAGCTTTATGTGTCAATTTTACGCTTCGATTTCTCTAATTTACAAAGTCATGGAAAAAAAAAAAAAAAAAAAAAAGGAAGAATAGAAAACAAAATCATACTTTTAATTTTTGTTATTTTAATATGTTGACGAGGCGAATTATAATTATTAATGCTAAATTTATATTAATACGAATTATAATGTTATGTTACGTTAATGGACTAATTAATTAGTGCAACTCCTCCTGAAGTAAAAGTATCTCTGGGAGAATACGATCGATGCCATTTGGATATATCCTCGGTACTTATAAGTATCGATACCATAATTCCATATCCAGAATTCGATTACGAATCACGAGCCCATGATTTAATGCTGATTCGTCTCAGCCGATCAACAAAATTTGAGAGACGAATTTCACCGGTATGCCTGCCAGAGGCTGGTCAGTAAAAAACTTTTTAGTAAAGTTGCACAGTAATATTATGATTTAAGAAACTTTCTATACTGCCAAAATATTTTGTTCATTATTTTTTATGCATTATTAATTTCTTCATATAACTCTTTAATTATACACGGTATATTAAAACATTCAGAACAATGGTCGTATATAACAGCCGTGCATGTAATTGCTAAATTTCTAGTAAAGTTTAATATAGAGTTTTAATAATAATAACAATAATGACTATAATAATAAATACAGAAACAAAAACAACAATAATAAAAATAATAATCGTCGTAATTTTAATAATATTTAGAATATCAGTAGTGGTAATAATTAATTTATCGAACAACGAGATAAGTAATCAAAAGCTATTTACAATATATAGATAATATAATTTTCTTATTGATATTCAATAATATTACTACAAAAATATTACTATCGATTTGATTAATTGTAATTATAATACTGATTAAACAAGAAACAATAAGCTCTATAGCTTCAAAGTTTATAAACTTGCCATTTGTAGCTATACATGACACTGTTGCCTGCGTAAGGGCTAATTATAACTCTTATTTTCAGTTCGATAATAATAATAATAATAATAATAATAATAATAATAATAATAATAATAATGATAATAATAATGATAATAATAATGATAATAATAATGATAATAATAATGATAATAATAATGATAATAATAATGATAATAATAATGATAATAATAATGATAATAAGAAGAAGAAGAAGAAGAAGAAGAAGAAGAAGAAGAAGTAGAAGAAGAAGAATATGAAGAAGAAGACGAAGACGAAGACGAAGAAGAGGAAGAAGATGAATAATAATAACAACAACAACAACAACAACAACAACAACAACAATGATAAAAATCTAAAATGAATAACAAGAATAAAATTCCTATGCAAATGTTGTACACTTTTGTTTTCTTACATAAAATAATGAAGAACAATTTATTTCTTTATAGAATCAACGTACTTGGGACAAGTGGGCACGGTAATGGGATGGATGGAATTTGGTGGTGAAGGAAATCCCAATGCCAGGACGTGCCGACCCCGAAAGCTCGGCTTACCCATTCTGGGCAGACGTGAGTGCCTTAAAAGTGGAATAAAGCCGATAAACTATCACGTGGAAACTGGATGCTTGGGTATTATTGGATCAAACTCAATTATATGTAACGTAAGATATATCTCCCCTCGAAATAACAAATGATTTAATAATTACCGCTCCGACTCAATGTTACTAGAATGATGCTGGGACAGCGATATTGCGCAGATCGTACAGTGGCTTTTATAGCCTAATTGGTAAGTAGAAATTTTCTGGAAATCGATATTTATGGAAATTATATTTGGATGGTAAACGTTGCTTTTTAATAGGCATTTTGTCGGACATCAACAATTGTAGTAATAAACAAGGCACGGCAGTTTATTTGAAAATTGGACCATATCTCAATTGGATATATAAAGAAACAAAAGATAGCTGTTATTGCTTCAAACCCTTTGTCATGCCAGATATAAAGTCGTCTCATCTATCCGCTTATTAAATAAAATACAACTATCATTATATTATTGTGCGCAGCTTCCTCTTTCAAGCGATTTTTCATATCGCATTATTGGGTTACGGTTTGATTAAAACAAATTCAATTCAAGTAATCTTAGATAATTAATTCTTTATAATATAAGCTATAATAATTAGAAAATGCGTCATTAAGAATAAAATATCTGCACAAATTATATATTAGGTTTATATTTGTATTAAAAAGAAAAAATAATGCATTTATATTTCATTTTTTTTTTTTTTTATATAATATTAATGAAATGAACGATAAATGTACTGTGAAATGTAAGAAATGTCGAATGATTTTGCATTTACTCAAATATTTAACGATCGTTTAAAATTTCTTCTATGTGTTTAGAATGCGCGATATAGTCATGTGTCATCTTGATGCTCTAATATATTCTTCATAATCTACAAGTTTCTTTGCTTATATCTTTTCTAATATTATAATGAATAATAAAGTGCTTTTATTCAATTATTATCAATTATTTTCAAATTAAATAGGCAAAATATTTATATTGTCTGCCCTTTAAGGAATTAAATTAAAATTAATAATGATGATTACGCCTATTGATGCTATGCTATTATGGAATACGATAAAAAAAAATAATAAAGACATTAAAAGATAAATGTAATTTATATATTCTCTTTTAGATAAATTATTAAATTAAGATTTCAATTTTCATAAGTGTTATTACACCACATTCATGGATATTATTAAAGATAATATGTAGATATGATTTTCATTTAGGTTGACGTGTATTTATTTCTGTTATTTAATTTTGTTTTGAAATGTTCGCTATACTTTTCCGATACGAGTTTACTTTTTACTTAATGTGACTTATTTGAGCAAATAGCGAAAAAATAATTGCATATTAATAAGAAAAAATAAATTAAATGAAATAAATTGGCATTTAATTGTAATTAAATATAATTGAAATCAATTACTCTACAATTTAATATAACATGAAAATATTCTATGTAACTGTTTCATTTTTTAATTAAACTTTGTTAAAGATTTTTGTTCTCTTTAAATGAAAAATTAACAAACAAAAATAGTAATAATTGATAATACAACTAATTATAATTATATAGCTATTCTCAATAATGTTTAAATGCATTTATTAGACTGAATATCTAATTATTTAAAATTTTCATCAATTAATTGCTAATTTGTTATTAATATTTAAGCTAAGTTTTTGGTATTAAGAGCAATATATTAATAAACCGAAAATTCTAAATCAATTATAAAAATGTTTATTTTATGTAAATTAATTTATTAATTATTGTATGTATAATTGTATATAAAAATGTATATTAGAACTGTATCAAGCAAGTTTATGAATATATTATCGTTTTCATTTCAAAAGTAAAAATAATAAAGAAAATTTCGCGATTGATTAGTGTAAATACATTTAAAAAATAAATTTATACTAGAATTTGTATACTGTAAATATATATAAACATTTTTTCATGTAAATCATGCAAATTAAATGAAACCAATAATATATCAATAATACTATTATCATGTATTTGTAAAAATATAACGATAATATATCGATTAATTATCATGTTCATTTGAATTTTCTTTATTATATAGAATGACATTTAAGCGACTAAATACTTCTAATATCTAATCCCATGAAAATTAAATTAAAGATAAAGAGTTGAGATTTGCTTAAAATTTCATTTATAATTCTATCTATAAAGGTAAAGTGATTTCGATTTAATTTTCAAATAAAACACTTACATAATAAAATTATTAGAATTACTTAAAAAATCTGTTAATTGTACTTAAAAAATTCCTTAAAATTGAATTATGAAATTTATAAAAATCAGATATAGAATCGGTAAGTACGCTCTCTAATAATGTATTAAGTAAAACAAAATAAAAATTTTTGATTTATTGCAGAAGTTCAAAAAGAAACATTTACTGCAAAACCCGTAGTTACACTATCATCAGCAATAAAAAAAGTGTATAAGAGCCTTGTAGATAGATACAGAAACTTGCTAGATAGAAAAGTATGAAATATAAGTATGGAAATATAAGTATATTTATTTTATTTATATTAATTATTCATAATTTAATATGTCTATTTAATTATTCGTGCGATCGAGAAATATTATCGAGTTAATAATTGGAAACGTGGAGTGAAAAATTTGGAAAATAAAGAATTTTAATGGATAGAAATGCTAAGTGATGCTAAAGACTTTTAGTAAAAATTAATTAATAATTATCAACTGATGAAATCTTTCGCGAGCTATTTAATTAAAATTATTATATTATTATTAAATTGTATTTTAACTCTATATCGAATGTGCAATTGTTTGGCAATTATGTCATCGCAAATTAAATGTAGCACATTGAAGCGCTAGATCTGCGTGTAGATCCGTAGTTTATATTATCATGGATTTAATAAACTTCTCAAATTTTTACCAAAGATAGAAATCATAAATCACTTACAAGAAAAGAAAGGAATAATGAACAAGTGCAAACACTCGTAAGATATTACATTTGATTTATAATGTTCCATTGCACTCATGAAAATATCAAGGAAACCGATACGAGCTGATAAGTTCGCAACTGTATTATTTATCGAGTAACACAATTAATTTACGATCAACAAACGCTTAGAAACGAATTGGCTTGATCGAGCACCGCAGTTCTAATTCAGAAAAATAATCGCACGTTAAGTCGACCGCAAGCAAGATGATATTACAGGCCCTCACCACAATTGGCGTCCTACTGATCATAGACGTTCGTTGAGAGTAATTATACTCGTCTTCGTCTATTATACAATTATTATTAAGCTTGAGCACTAAAAAGATTCATTATTTTTAATTTTTAGGTAACTAATGGAAATTATCCGCGTGTAAATAGTAATTGTGGTAAAGTATTTGAGATTTGATTGATTTTGATTCATTATAATAGCAGCATCTCTATATCATAATATCTTTACGATTAGTATCAAAAGCATTGCAATAAAATATGTGTTAATAAGTCAAATCGAAATAAACAAGTCACTTTCAACAATAATTAATAATAAATAAGAATTAATAAGAAATAACAGAAACAGCGACAGCGACAGCGACAGCGACAGCGACAGCGACAGCGACAGCGACAGCGACAACAAACAACAACAACAACGACAGCGACAACAAACAACAACGACAGCGACAACGACAACGACAACGACGGCGACAACAATAATAATAATGCGATAATACGATTTAATAATTTCTTCATTTTTTTCTTTCATTTTACTAATAAAATTAATGATCCGGCGCGCATTATTCAAATTGCTTTTATTAACGTATGAGTGGATACGTATTAATTTGTTTTATTTTAATTTTTTCAAGCAATAGGTCTAATCTTTTATTACACGTGTAGAAGTAACGAAGTGTTAAAAATTAAAACGCCGTTAGGAATATGTCACGATACTGCACGATAAAAAAATATTAATAATTCTTTGTTTAAGGATGCAGTATTAAATATTTATTGAAATAACACTAATTTCTTTTTAAATATACAAGACTGTGGACATGCGAACGAAGGCATTGCTAATCGCATAGTCGGTGGAATTATATCCGTTCCGCATGTCTTCCCATGGATTGTTGCTATATTGGACCATGGTGCCCTGCACTGCGGTGGTGCTCTCATAAACGATCGCTACGTACTAACTGCTGGTCATTGTATATTTAAGTGAGTTCATTGTCATTTTGAAAATGCATCTAAAAAGTACGTCTCGCGATAAATATTCGCTCCATAAACACTTTTGCCCCCTCACCATCGCATCGTAAATCACACTCGATTCCTTCAATCAATTAATTAAATATATATTAGGAAAATTAATTTTTTTCAGAATAAAAAAGAAACATCTATCTTTAGTCCTAGGATTGCACGATATTCGAAAAATCAAGAGTGGCTTAACAATAAAACCAGCTGAGATGATTCTACACGAGGACTTTCATAGTGACGTATTGCATGATTTTAACGATATTGCTCTTATTAAGTTGTCGCATTCAGTTGAGTTCACAGACAATATTAAGCCAGTGTGTTTGCCAACGCCCGGTAAGTATTGTTATAATTTCACGATAATACGATATTATCACATTAATTGATGAATTAATACGTATTATCTCGAGTCGTTTATACACTATTTATATTTTTTTTCTCTCGATAATTAATTAATATTACCGCTATTCATAGTCATTTTTCGGTGACGAAGGATTTTTTTTTTTTTTTTTTTTTTTTTTTGATCAACTCCCACTATATAAAACTTTCAGTTCATCGTTATTTCTAACATTGAAAAATACGAATAAGAAAATATACAGTAGTATTGTATGCCTTTAGGATCGAATTATGAAGGACATCAAGTTAAGGTATCAGGTTGGGGACGAATAAAAAGTAATGGAGGAGCATCGAGATATCTAAGACAGGCTAATTTAAGGATACTACCTTATGATTTGTGTAAACAAACAAAAATTGGTCCTCATTTAGATGAAAAAATGTTATGCGCTTATGCAACGGATACAGATGCTTGTCAGGTAAATACTTGTATTTTTATTTCATCTTTTCTTAAAAAAAAAAAAATAAATAAATAAAAACAAGTAAAAAAAAATTTTCAACTAAAAATTATAAATATGCATAGTATATTATATTGTTTAGCTTGTATTAAAAAAATTTTACAATATAACACAACTTTAAGATCTTTTAATATAATGCGAAGCTTTACCTCCTAGAGATTTTTCAATAATAAAAGTTGAAATTTTTCATTTACGTGTGTGCGCGGTTGTATTAGTTATATATTTCCAATTTAGAAAGCACTCGACTTTCTTAATATTAAATATTATGTGATATTTGGAAAATATATTCACGTTATGAATATATAGAGTTAGAATAATAGGTCAAATGAAATTTTAAAGTTATTTGTGTAATTGATTGAAGGTTGTGTAAAAAGTAATCAAAATTTTAGATTGACGTAGTAATTTGTAGGCATCCATACATTAAGCATATGCCAGAGTCGCAGTTTCAATTAATCGTTGTGACGTAGCATAAATTTAAAACAACATTTAAAATAAATTTTAAAATTAATACCTCGCGTTTCTTGAATTTATCAACTGTGCTGATAAATTCATTATAAAAATTATAATAATACATTTACTATTAATATAATTCCAATAATTTACGTCTATAAATATATAAACATAAATATATATATATATATACATATATACATATATACGTAAATAAGTAAATATATACTATAAAAAAAAAAATAAAAAAAAAATAAAATAAAATAAAAAATAAAAAATATATATATATATTTAATTTGAAGTGGAAATACATTGTTTTACATATAGTTTTAGACTCTTTAAACTTTTATAACCTATTTATAAACAATATAATATATTTTTTAATTTATTCTGTATATATTATTATCTCAGTTTTAGTATTTGATATTAAAATTTCAATTGCTTTAATACTCATTTACTTATTCTTTAATAGAATTTATACAATTAATATATATTATTCTTTTGAATAGAAATACACAAATTTAAACCTTTTTAATCTTTTTAGTGATATATTTAAAAAATTTGTATACCATTACATCATTAATATTTTAATTTAATATGTTTAATTTCACATTTGTTATTAAAAATTTTTAAATTACAATTCCATCTGATGGTTCATATTTTCGTTTTAAATAAAATTATTATATATATATATATATATATATATATATATATATTGGTTTTTTCATTTTTTTATTCTTTAATTGAATCGTTTGTTTTTTATTTTCTATTCTAACGATTTATTTTAGATTTATTTATTATTATTTAATTTATTTAATTAATTATGTGCCTTTAGATAATAAAAGGTATTTTTTTGTATCAAAACTATATAAGTGAAAAATTCTTATCTAATTATTTAAAACCAAGTGATCAAATAATTCATAAATAATATAAATATCATCTGCAGAATATTTAAAAACCGTTATCCCATATACGATTCATATTTTTATTGTGTACTACTTCATAAAATTGAAAATATATTTTCGTGGTAGTAATTAAAAATTTATGACTATTTTTTCTGCAAATATATGCAACATATTCTTAATATAAATATTAAAAATTAGATTATATTTTCAAAAATCAATTATAAAAATTTACATATATAAAATAAAAGTTTTGTTAATATGGAATTATACGTAGTATTTGAAATCAACATTAAATATTATATTCTTTATCGCAGTTCTTTTTAAATAAATGTAACGAAAACATTGTGTAATCGGCTTTAATATTGTATATATTTACAAATGTGTGAAATAATTAATATAAAACATAATTTTTCTTTACCGATGAAATTAAATTATGCGATTATTATAAAGCTTTTATTGGTTTGCTTTTTTTAATTTTATTAAATCATGGATTTTAAACATTTCTATCATTATCAAAATTATTTATTAACAATTTCTAAAAACATATCTACTATTCAAACTAATATAAGAGAATATAATTATTTTATTATTTCTAGCTAACAAGATTTCAAATTAAAATTTTTTCATTAAATTTCAACTATTCATTAATTATTAAAATACAAATAATGTTAATCTGAAAGTAATACATGAAAAATGAAATTAAAACAAAATTTGTACATATTTTCATAATTACATAAAAAAAATTTATTACTTTGAATTGACAAATATATATATATATATATATATATATATATATATATATATATATATATATTTATTTATTTATTGTAAACACAAAGTAACTATTTTGTTAGTTATAAGATAAAAATTATAATTTTGAAAGCCTATAACTAGTAGTATTTTTTTGCAGGCTGTTTAATTTATGAGATAAACTATTTATATAAATTTTTCTTATTGAACAATTCGGATTTCGTAAAATATGACAGAGGCGCGCGCGAGCTCACGAATCATATACTAAGTAATTTTAAAATATATTTCTCTTCTTTTAGGGGGATAGTGGTGGTCCATTAATTTTTCAACGAGACGATGAAAAATACGAAACAATAGGTAAATAAAAAGAATTATTATTTTTAAGTTTTTGCTCTATTGCTGGTCAGTGACTACTGCATGATAATCTTGAATTATTAATTTAATTATTAATTTACTATAATATTATAAATATTCCCTTTTTGCAGGTATAGTGTCTTGGGGCTTGGGATGTGCACAAAGAGGATTCCCAGGAGTTTACGTGAAACTTACAGATTATTTAAACTGGATATACACACATACTTCAGATGCGATTTATTGTATGGATAAATAATTTTATATTTTTCAAATATAAATTTAATAAAATATTTAGAAATTATTGAATAAGCGATTTTTTTCGAGAATGATATAAAATTTATTTAGTTTTCTTCATAAACAATGAACTCCTTCGTTATCGTTTATATTTTTTTCTTTCTTGTGTTTATGATTCCATTTTATGAGCAACATATAATAGCTTTGTGATAATGTCGGTAAGCAAATACGAAGATCAATGATTAAAAGTCATAAAGATTAATAGTTTTAATCTGGCCACAATGATAAAATTATTTTGTACCTTCATTTTCATTTATTGTTTTAAATATACACAAAAAACTTTGTTTTGTCTAATTATTGAAAATATTTGAAGAAGAATTTTTAATCGATTAATAAAGTTGAATTAGAAAACAATTTATTCGAGATATAAATAAACATATTATATAATTAAGTATATATCAGTAAGTCTAATTTGGTCTGTCTAATTCAGTCTGTATGTACATATTTATAATTTTAATAAGATTTCAAGTTATTTTATGAAAAATCGAAATTCTTAATACTATAAATTACACTTGAAAGCTTTTAAATTAAAGCGATTTAAAATTATAACATGTAGTTGTTAGAAAATTCTTGAAATTTTATGGAAGCCAATTATTATAGTTTTATGCACAAAATACCTTTATTAAACTGTAAAATTACACTTTTGATCTTTATTACTTTAAGTTCTTGGATCATAAAAGCTTCAAAAAGCTTCAAATTAATTACTAGTTGAAATATTATATTAGAATGTAAATATTTCATTCTATATGGTGTTCTTAAACAGTTTAATGATGATGATTTTAAAAAAATTCGACTGTTTTAAATGCAGTTATAGATATAAAGAAATAAGGAATACAGTGTGTATACATATATATGTATATATATATATATATACTGATATACAATTTTAATTGTTTAGAAAAAATAAACATTGATTTATTGCTTATTAATGTTAACAGTTTCTGTAATCTATATGTTTTATTATAGATTATTATACTAATTTAAAAAGCTGAAATCATTGTATATTTACTTTGTGTATCATTGTTAATTTTACTTTTATATAAACCGAAGATATGTTTGAAGAACACATTTCAAAATGTATAATAAATTTTAAACTTTGAAAGAAATGATGTTTTGTTGATTTATTTCATAAATTATTGTTCGTAGCGGTCAATAATTATGTGCAAATTGTAAAATCTTGAACATTATGCAAATATAAAAATGCATTACGCTATAATTATACATAAATGTTATAAACTAAATTTTTCTTGTTTTAGTTAAGTATTATAAGTACATTTTATAAAATACACTACAATAATATAATATATTTCATAAATAAATTATAAAATTATTCGTTAATAAACGTTTAGAAAATAAAATTTTTTTAAACTTTAATTATCCTAATGTGAACTGTATATATTTTAATATGAAATAAGGTTTACAATACTTAGCATTGTTTATCTATAATGCAAGCATAATATTTCAGACTATATTAAAAATAGTGTAACCTAAGGTGTCATTATGTGAAAATATTAGTTGTAAAAATAATTTGTTTTATTATTAATAGTCGAATGTATAGATACTATTATAGTTATAGATAATCTGAAATTCTCATAATCTATCTAATTCAGAGAGTAAAACTTAATAGTATATTTATAAAATTAATAAATGATATGAGTAACATTAGAATTGCATTGTGATGTCACAGCCTCTTCTAAATTACAATCAAGTTTATGATAATTTGCTGTGCTTGGCCTTCTTCTACTCCCACTACGACCTCTTCTTGATCTTCTTCCTTCCAAAACCATAGCTAAAATCTAAATAATTTAGAAAATTATATTATTAGGCATTTAATTATTATGGACATTGGCATATTTAAAAAAATTCTATTAAATCAGAACCTTTTGTTTGTTATGATAACCAATATACAGTCCGATGCAAATTAAAGTAATAATTGAAAAATATGTAAAAAAATGTGATTCATCTTCTTCTTTTATTACAGACAAAGGTGGATAAGATTTCTTGATATCTTGGGGTAGACCTTGTTGATCACCTATAACGATTGAAAATATAAAATAATATAAATAATTTAATTATTCTTATCTTTTTCGTGTACTTACCAAAATTTCTTGATGAAAACATTTCATCATCTGTGAAAGAAGGTTGGAGAAGCTTTATTAAATAATTGAAATTCAAATAAATTTTTCATTAATAAACATATATCATTACACCTTTACCTATGTTACTTATGGATTCTTTTAAATCATTACCACCATCGTGCTCATCCACTTCATCATCTTTATTTTGATTTATCTTTTTAATTTGTTGATCTTCTTTAGAAATTAATACTTTATCAGAATTAATTTCTTCAGGTTGGTAAATATTATTTGGATTTTCCATGAGATTTTCCGATGGCTTATAAGTTATAACGATTACCTTTTCTTTCATAGAAAAAATAGGTCCAGTTCTTTGTTTATCTTCCATTGTATGTATTTCAGAATCCCTTTAAATATAAAATTGTTCAAAATGAACTGACTATTAATTACACTGAATTTACAATCATGGATATCAATAGATAAAGAGTGATAAAAAAAATGTAACTGAACTTACTTTTATGATTAAAACTTAAACTTACTTTTTTGACGAGTATTCATTATTATTTACACTTGAAACTTTTGAATGATCTGCTTTTTCTGAATCAGTAGATAACTTATTTTCAGTTCGCTTTGTGGAAGCTTTATTTAGCGGGCTAGTACGTACTTCAATTTTTTCAATTTTCTGTTGTATAATACTAATATGACTATTCTTTGTATTTTCTAAAGTTGATAAATCCTTATGTATAATATTATTACTAGTAACTGCAGAGTTTTCTACATTCTTAGTTATAAGGGTAATAGCTTTAGGTCTTTTGACATTACTCAATAATTCATTAAACCACAGAAAAATCATACACAAAGGGTTGACTGTATTGTTAGGTTTATGACAAGTATAACCACACTCGTGTTGTTCAAAAAGAATTCCACTTACATATTTACTATAAGGATCTACACTAGGATCACTTTTAACATCCGAAGCACCCCAGTTATTAAATACAGAGACCATTGTCTTACAGAGATTGGCTATAAAACTATCATAATCACTAGATTTTGGTTCAAATTTTCTTATGCTATCATCTAATTTCTTCACTGTGTCTGGTATTGTGATTTTATATTCTTTATAAATAATATTTTGACAAATCTTATTCATAGTATCAAATATCATCATACACAGGGCCAGATCAATGTCATTTTCTTTAAAAGTTGTAGGAAATGGTATTTCACTGCATTTACTCATATAAGATGATTCATGCAAAACAGTTAGCGCATCACAATAATTTATTGTATCAATAATCATTTTTTGCTCCACCGCATCACTTGCGACTGTAGAAAAATGTGCCGAGCCTATTATAAAAGCGATCGTTAAACATTTGCGAATATTTGTCGTTTCCATAGTTTTCTTCACGTTTACTGACATCGCTATAAAAATTGTAATTATTATTTGAGGTTATATTTTATCCTATATTATTATTAACTAAGTAAAATCACTACTTCAATAATAGAGTCATGTTTAAATATTTGAATATTCCATCAAAAAACTGAATATCATTTGAAGTACGTAACATTTCATTACGCATTTCACGTACAAACCCCAGGATTTTTCCGGTTTGTTTAATTACAGTTTCACATTGGAAGTTTTCCTAGAATCCTTCCACTACATGTCTTTCATAGTTCTATGAAATATAAATGTATAACCACAAATCACTATTTACGAGTTAAATTACTTTACACGAGAATTGTGCAATGATCGAGTTGATTTTCGAGAGACCTCGATATAATTTATCAGCTGGTCCTATAACAAACTTCAGATTAAGCGGATCGGTAAGGGGTTTTCTATTTTATCGATCGACGAAAATACAGTGAACAAAACTATATATCCATTAAAAGACAAATACTCCTTAAGATTATTTATTTGAAAATGAAAGTGAACGAGTAATGCGGTTAAAAAGAATAGCGAAGAACTTAATTTACAAAGCAAATTTTTAAAATACAATACGATTATATCTACAACAGCATTTTTAAACGATGAAGTCATTTAACATTATTTTTCATTTAATATTATTTATCACTTTTTATCGCTGTATATTATCCAATTGTTACTTTCAGCCTTCCATAAATACTTTTATTCAAAAGAATTTCATAAGTTTCCTAATGCATGACAATATTCATAATTTATAAATTAAAATCCATGCTATGATTAAATACAACATTTTTTAATAAATTCGAAATATTATTTAATTTATAATCAAGGATGATTAAAATGTTTTCTATTCTTATTAGTAATAAATATATAAAAAAAAAAAAAAAAAAAAAAAAAAATATTAAATAGCTATATTTATGAAATACATATCTTGTTGCTTCATACCATAAATTTATACATCTCGAGCCATAGTAATTATAGTTATTAGAATGGAAAAATTGTCCCAATAATGTTTCAAGCTTTTGTTGCGCATAATGCTTATAATAATATAAACGCTACGTACATTCGTATTACGAATGCCGCACAATTTCCGCTCTCAGTGCGCAGCAGCACAGATTAATAAGACGGCGATTAAAAATTATAGAGAATATTAGATTACTGACTGATGATTCGAAAAGTATAAGTGGTAATTGTACTATTATACTATTATACTATTATATAGAAAGGGATTTATTGACAAAATTCATTATATGACTTTTCATTTAATTGTATATTTAACATTATATTCTCAATTAAATTATTACTCACGCGTCTTAATTGATAAATTTTATTTATTAGTACATGAAAGTTTGCTTACTATAAAACTTTTACTAACTTCAATAACTATAGGTTAATAGGAAAACACTATTAGGCATTCTAATACTCTCTATAAAATCCGTGAAAATACATTAAATAAAACATTAAATAGAGTTTACTATTAAGTATTAACGATAAGTAATAATGAATATATTATACTAAAATTAAGGATACATTTTCAGAATACATAAGTTAAAGAATTAAAATCTAGCTTCCATTTAATCTTGACTGAATTATTTATTTCAAATTAATTCATGTGAAAATAGCACTGTGTTTATAAATACATTTCTCAATTTAATAAATTAAATAAACATTAAGCGTTTAAGAATAAATATGTACAAATAAAAATTTTTTTTTCTTCACTACAATTCTTATTCTTAATATGAAATAATCTCATATTAAAAAGAGTTTACCAAAAATTTTAAATGTAAACAATATTATTATTACTTATTAAGGTATAATTACTTATTTAAAGACAAACTCTAATTTTATAATATTAGAAAGATCCAATTAATATAGAATAAAATATAATAGATAAATTATTTAACCGCTAATTGAATGCATAGATTTAAAATATAAAAAATATATAAATAATACTTTTTCGCATTGAAATGAGCGAAAATAATTATGTATATTTGTAAATGATTATATCTATTGTTTACATAAATTGCAAAGAATATCGTATTAAAATAATGGAGTACCAGGTTCACAATTCTTTTTTCTAATTTTTCTTCTATTATATTCTCATATAATTTACTATGCCTTTTTCGACGTCAAAAATAGATTATTTGCAATGACAAAATTCAATAAGAATTAGTGAAATAAATCGAATTTTTTGTATAAACGCAAAGTTTTATGAAAAATTATTAAAAACATTTCATTTTTATATAAAAATGAAAAAAGTTATTAAAATTAGTTGCAAGTGAACATTTTGTTAGGATTCGCTAAAACATGAATAAAATTTATATGATTTTAGTAGAAATTCACATTATTATCCATTGTAAAATGTAAATAAAATATACGTTATTTATTTAATAAAAAAAAAAAAAAAATAAAAAAATCCGTATGGAAATTCTTTTTAAGAGATAGAAATATTAAAATTTTACATAACGCTACGATTCATTTATTTATTCATCATTTGATTTCATTTTCTGATTGTGTTTGCAAATTACTGTAATAAATTTGTGTTTAAAATCAATAATTTATAGTAAAAGATTATTCTGTGTAAAAATGAAAGCTTCCAGTGTTCTTTCTTTTTCAGCAAACATTAATTAAATTAACTATTATATATACATATTTAATAAAAATGAATTTTTATAATAACTTTTCCATTTTAATTTTACAAAATTTTGTCGATACAATACATTTTAAACTTAAATATATATAAATAATATAAATTAATATATTATATATAATATATATATATATATATATATATATATATATATATATCATATCATATCATATCATATATAAAAAAAATAAAAAAAACATGACATCAAATCCAAGTAAGTAAATATATAAATATAAAATAATATGGTAAATAAAATAATTGGCAACATTCATTTTATGTCATTAATATATTGATTTATTGTTGCTCATTTCTATACATATCTCAAGATCTACTTACAATACAATTTGAGATGCAATTAAAAATAATAAAAATGTTTACTACAATAGTAATACTTTGTCGTTTTATTATGTATTCTCAATTTGAATCCATTATTTTATTTATTTTTCCTTTCAGTCGAATTCTTTTACAGTTGAATTCGCATTTGTACAACATAAACGCTTAGTACATACATATGTGCAAATCAGGTTATCTTGTATTATCATATTTATCACACATGTATACTTTTATGTCACATTTTAGTATTTTTCATAGACGTTGATTAATTGTCATTATTTCATTTAATAATACCGTAATTACCCTTAAGAAAAAATGAGAAATTTTAATATCATTTTTTATATTTTCATTATCTAGTTATGTCTGATACTATTATACTTTACCGTATAATAATCTATGAAACCTCACGTACTCTGTAAAACAAACAAATCGGTTTACTTTGTAGAGTCAAGCCAAAGTTTAGTTATAATTTGCTTTTTTTTCTTTTTCCTAAGGGTAATGAGATTGTCGGGCGAATAGCATAATTACTAGATTTATATTGTTATTGATTTTTATCGATTTATGCAATTATCATAAACTCTTTTTACATAAAACACATTATCCCATTACTATAAGTTTTAGGCGAAACTTATATCTTAATATTTCCTTCTAATTTAACAGAAAATAATAATGAAGCAGTTGTATAGTATTATATTTAATTATTACAGTAATTTATCATAGAATAAGAAAACAATCATCTACACTATTAATCTATATACTTCAATTGTTAGGCCTTGGAACAACGTGTGCTCAACTTAATTAAATACAGTTTTTGTTTTAAGAACATTCATTAATAAACAAAAAAGAAAAAATTACGATATTAAATGTTGTATAAAAAAATATTTATCGGATGAATATCCATTTTTTAATGATATATATATATGAAAATTTGATTCATGAATAGATAAGAATGCCCTAAGAATATGCTATTTTTTTTTTAATTATAAAATTGTATAATAAAATATAATTCAATAAAATAAAATAAAATAATAGACTCATTGATTATGTATCATTCGTTTTTATCAATATTATTACTTTAGTATATATTTAAAATTTCTGCTCTATGTGCTAAGTATATTGTATTTCATAAATTGTACTAATGCTGCTTTACTGATTATATTCAAACTTATGATTCTACTAATAAAATTTCTTTTCAGATTAGTTATACTAAACTATGAAATTCATTGTTATCGAGTCCAGCTTCACACAATAAAAGGATAATTTATAGTATATGCAAATATGAATTTGCAGAATTGAAAATCAAAAAGAAAATTTCTGCCAAATATTGGGATTACAAGTCCTTTTAAGCATAATGCAAAGTTTTATGCAAAATAAAATATTTAAAGCACTGAATATCGTTAATATTGTGAATAATATTAATAATATTTATTATGATAATATGTAAAATAATTTAATAAAGTTGTTTATACTTAACGTATTTAAGCAATAAAACTAATCTGTCAAGAAATTTTTATAGAGTTACATTTTTCAACATGTATAAGAAATATTTCAATAATAAAAAATTTATTTTCAAACATCATTAATATATTCTAGTCCCTTAATATTCATCATCGTTATTCATTTTTCATAATTACATTATAATATTAATATATTATTAACATAGATATTTAAACGAATCATCTAATTTTCATATTTTACAATATATTGTAAAATATTAATAAATAATTGTTCATAGCTCTTGGAATAAATCGTAAAGCATCGAAACGATAGTTATTTAAATATGAAGTGAAAGTCGCAAATTAAGTTCCACAAGTTGACTCACTTTTCTGAAATTTTGTAAAAATTTTCTAACAAACTATTCTGGAAGTTCTTATTGCACGTGCACATAGCGCAATAGCAAATTTAAATATCAATGTTTAACTGACTTATTAGTCAGATATCATTGTTCAAGCTCTAGAATTTTAATTGGAGTTATTGTACGTACATATTATATGCGTTGATAATTCGCTAAGGCTATGTATTGGTTTGGCTATGCATTGGACTCACCATTCAATTATTTCGTATTGTACTACCAAGATTCGCTTATATAAATATTACGTTTGCTTGTGATAATGATAAAATTATTTCGTTTATGCGTCAGTTATATTCATTATTCATAGAAGTTTGTCTAGTACAATAAGATAATGAAATTAAACCTTAAAAGAAAAAAAAAAAAATAATGAGAAAAAATGCTTTGATATTCGCATTGCAATTTGACCAATTTATTATGTAAATAGATATCACTTTAATATTTCTATTATTATAAACGTAATAAAATTGTTGAATTATTTTATTAGTATTTTTCTCTCCTTTTTTTTACAAAAAATTTTTAATATACCATAAATGAAAAAAGTATGAATAGTTAAATATAAAATTTTTAATAAGATGTTCTATGTTCAGATGCTATTTTTTTGTATATATTTTGCAGTTTCATGGAATAAATAAAAATGTATTTTCATAGAAATAATTTACAATTATGATGTTTAAAATTTTACTAAAGCGAATCCATTGATGATGATACTTTTCAAAATTTTGATTATAATTCTTACAAATAAGTGATATTTTAAAATAGTTTTCACGAATAAAGGTCAATTTGTTGAATAAATCTTCAAAATTATTTCATCGCACTAAAAATATATTTATACACTACTTATAATATTTATTTTACACAATATACATATCACTGTATAAATAAAAACAAAATATCCGTACTGAAGAAATATTATATTTTTCTTTTATAAACGCATATGACTTACAAAAAATTATATTAGATCATTTTTAATAGATTATACTATGCATTAAATTATCGTCGTTTTTAAAAATTATTTATAAAAACATCGAAAGAAAGATAAAAAGTAATGATTGAGAAAAAATTGCAAATAGTAGGCATGAATCAAATTCTATATACATTATAATATTTTATGCAATAAATCTTCTTTATTGATTTATTAGAACAATACTTCACTTTTATTCAGTTGTAAAAGTAGCAAGATAATTTAAAACAACTAAATTATAAAATATAATTACGTATATTATTGTTATGCAGTGTTAAAATCTCACATTTAATAACTTGTTCATTGTGAATTTGATGGAGAAATCATTTTATTTACTTAGTAGCCGAATTTTACATGTTAAAATAAAAAAGATGTTTGTTATGAATTATAAATTCATAATATAAAATAACATTTTTTTAAATAACGAATTGTAATAAATTGTATGTATTCTTAACTACAATTTCTAATCTTGAATGATAAAAAAAAAAGTTTAACAAAAGTTTTCTTATTTTCTTGATAATTTGCTTACTGCATTCATTTTACAAAACTGCGTAAAATTGTTTTATAAAAGAAAATCGTACTATCTACATTCACATATAACATAAATATAACATTATAGAATTAATAAGTTTATATAAAATTTTAAAGTGTCCTTTTTCTCACCACATTAATGGAAAAAAAAAAAAAAAAAAAAAAAAAAAAAAAAAAAAATATGATAAACTGTATAATTTTTTAATTAAAATAATGGGATACATGAAAGTAGCTACATGATTAGTCTATGGTTTGCTATTTGCGAGATATATATTTCTCTGGGATTTTTATATTGGCGCATTTTTTGGTACGCTAATAATTATCTAGAAGCAAGAATCTAAACAGAATAAATAAGCTACAGACTTTTTGAATATATATTGGCGCTTATACATCTCTCATACACGCCCATTTGCATATTTTGCATATAAACTCTACTAGTAGTTATCAATGAAAGTAAATTAATACTCAGATTCTAGTAAATGAGTAGGTTGCTTCTTTAAGCAAGACTGATATGTACTGAAATAGCTAAATGAAAGATTAGATATATATGATCTTTCTCTCTTTGAAATATTACTTATTTGTAATAAGAAGCCTTAGAACGTACTTAAACAGTATCGAATTGTGAATTATAAAATGAGCTGTTTTAATGTTAAAGGCAGATAAATGCTCGATTATTTCTTCATTCAATCATTTCACTTATGTCTTTAAACGCGAAAATTTCATCGCTTTTGAGTAAACTTTTGTAATTCATAAGCTTATATATTAATATTATTATTAAATTCATATAATCTCGTCTATTTCTCTTATATATCGAGGAAACATAGTTTCAACTACAATGTCATTCTATTTTAAAACAATGGCATTCGACAGTGTCATTTATTTCTCGCATCTCGATATACTTACTTATTGATTTGTATGTGACACTTTAAAACGTCTCTTTTGTATATAATAATATAATACTATTTAATGCGTCTTATACATTTGATCCTATTTCTGGCTTTTTTCCAATTTATTCATAAATGAATGAATGTTAACAATTATTCACACATATACATTATGTACATTAAAATCTTCTTCTTTTTCTTTCATCAATATACAATGGTATATTTATGTGCTCGATTATTATTTTTTGCCTTATATATGCATATAAATATATACATACACATACATACGCGTATACATTCGCGCATACATACGTACGCACGTGCATGCACACACATACGCATACGCATACGCATACACATACGCATACACATACACATATAAAATATATTATCAACAATGTAGTATGTACACACTTATAAATAATATTTTTTCTTACACAGCCGAAAATTTAAAGTTTCATATGCAGTAGGAAATGAATTGACAGTAAGTTTAAGGATCAGGTCTTATCGCTTGAAAAAACTTTGCTTTTCTTCCAATCAGAGAGAAATTTTCACCCCTAAAATTGAATCTCGTATTAGTTAAACATATTTTATATTTAATGACGAAAAATTTTCAACTTTGATCAATGTACTTTGATCGTTAACTCTTGTATTATACTTAATCTGCCGTAATATTAATGCTTACATTAATAGAAATTTTGTATTTATAAATCATTGGAGCACATTCGAATAATCTTTCAAATAATTTAAATCGTGATATTATTTTTGTTTTATCGATCGGAATATTTTCATATACTATCGTATCTTCATCGTACTTTTGTTAACAATAATAAATATTTATAACCAATTTTAAATATCCTTCTCGTAAAATTGAAAGATTATTAAGGTTGTAAGAGCATACTTAGGATATGAATAGAAACAGTACTGACCTACTGTCATAAAACTATTTCATTAACATTGTAAACAGCAATTTATTCTTGTGGATCGACTTTTTTCATAATTTTAATTTAATAGATTTATTTTGCAAACGTATTTTTTAACCAGCTAAATACTCTCGCAAATCCCAAGATTTACCTATTATACTGAGCAGACATTATCATGGTTGAATAGAATGAAAAGTATAAAAATTACCGAATTCTTCGGCATCCAATATTAAAGCAAATGAGCATTGTGCCCGCTAACGCATTTGCATAAAAAATGATCGAGCTTATATAATTGTTAAATTACGTCATGTGTAAATCGCCCTTTAATATCCTTGTAAAGGTCTTCTTAAACTGCTGATTAGCAAGGGCATAACAGAACGGATTCATCGGGCTATTAGCGTAGCACAAGAAATACGAAAACATGAAAAGATGTCTATTCGTGCATGGCGGATTCGAGCAGAATCCTTCGACTAATGCGACAATGTGATAAGGTGTCCAGCAGGCGACAAAAGCACCTAGGATGAACGATATCGTCCTGAAAGCCTTGCGCGCCCTATTTTCCGTACGTGATTTTTGACGACCCATTGTCGGATCCTTCTTCTGCGTCTTCACTTTCAGCCTCTTCCCAATGGCTTTCACTAAATCTCGCCTTGATCCGCCTCCGCCACCGTCCGAGTCAGTATTACGTTTGCTCGACTGTTTTTTCAAATCCTGATATTCTTTCGACGTCGGCTGATTGTCCATGTAAATACATTGATATAATTGTATTTTATGATTGTAAACTATGCATTAATGTAATATATTATTGCTAAAGAGAATTTACAAGTTGCATTTTAAATTATTTTAATATGGAAATCCATATGAATTACGTGATACATTCGTAAGTGATTACTTTCTTGCATGGGTTAATTTATGAAAATGCAAATCCTCGCTAAAATACCTTTTAATGTGCTTTAAAGCTTTTATGCATAAGCCAATTAACTACACGCATCTCCTTCTAACGTAGAACTTATATTATTCAAACGTCATATTACGAACGACCGTTCATTATCAATTTCCATAAAATGTATTAAAGAAGAAAAAAAGAGCGTGAAATCGAACGGGTTGTATTTTCGTGCTTTTCTCCGTATAGAAATTAATGTCTCATTACGGTGTTAGCGAAACGATTTTTTTTTTCTCTTTTCCTTTTCATAAAATAGGACAAGCCGAACGAAAATACGAATGAGTGCAGAGATTGTAAATAGGTAAATGCAAAGTATAACGTCTGTAGTGGCACGAATTAGTGACGAGTTTAAAAATTTAAATTTCCTTAAGCTCAAACAAAAAGGTAAAAGCACAACAAAGAAAAAAAAATTCAAAGAGGAATAATAAATCCCAAGAGGCATCTGCGGCGACGAACGACCACAACGTACAAAACGAACGTACCTGAGCGTCTATCGACTGACCGACGACAGTGACAGCCGAGGTGCTCGGCAGTGCACCACCACTCGACGACGAGGCGATCTGCATAAAATTGCCGACGGACGTCGTACGCAAACTTGGCTGCACTTGTGCACAATCAGTTGCAGTAGCGCAGGATTTGGCGCGTTGGAGAGTCGGTGGGGATGGGACGATGGTGGTGACGGGCTGGTTGTTGGGAGCATCCTGGGGCTTTACGTTGACCTCGGTGTTCAGTTTGTTAACGACGATGGGGGAAGTCTGGGAGGCGACGTTACTCTGGTGCGTGATGAAAACCCGTGGCGGATGCGTTTGGCTCGAGGCGTTCGCCATCATGGTGATTCGACTGTAAATAATAATGGCCGACGCGTCTTTTACACAAATGGCAATTTCCTCTCAATAGATGCGAAACGAAAGTCCACGTATAAATTAATTTTAAAGTGACGTGATATCGTGCAGTGAGTCTCCTGTCAAATTCTACGATAAGAAAATCGCTGAAAATTCGTCGGAATGTATTATTTTTCATTGATCGTAGATAATTTGTAGCTAAGATAGTGAAAATCTGAGGTGTGCGGCAACGTCGGGCAAAGTGGCATCGAGGACGAGTTTCGCGTAACCGTGTGTGTAAATATAGTATATGCTCACTTGTGAGTGGGGACATGCTTGTCGGAAGACTCGTTGCCCGTCTGCTGGGCCGTGGCCCTAATGAGGGCTGCCTGCAGGAGGTTAGTGTTCGCTGCTGAGCTTCCGGTTCCGCCGGGACCCAAGCACGTCATACCGAGTATTGGCGATGATGGCGTGGTGGACAGCGGATTAGCGAGACTGCAAGAGAAGGAGGAAGGCGGACTCTCGAACGACGGACTCGGCACGATTACTGAACTTTCGTCCATGAAGCGGAGATCGGCGCCGTCGAGGCCCGTCATTACGTCGTACGTGACGCACTGGCCATCCGCTGTAAGAAGGGATGAACTAGTGGACGAGGTGTTCTCGGAGATTGACGGACTTCCACGGAACTCGCTTGGCGGTGGTATTATGTGTGAGCTGGAGGATGTAGAGTCTTTATGTTGCTGTTGCTGCTGATGCTGTTGATGCTGTTGATGTTGCTGATGCTGCTGCGGCTGCTGATACTGCTGATGCTGCTGCGGCTGCTGCGGCTGCTGCGGCTGCTGCGGCTGCTGATAATTATTATGATGATGAGGAGGATGAGGAAGATGATGAGTCTGGGCAGGAATACGATTTTGCTGCGAGGCTTGTCGGCGATCATGTCTTGGTGGCGGGGGAGGAGGATGACGGTCAGCAATAGCCTTATCCGTATCGGTTGAACGCGATGATTGTTCTGGTGTCAAGGTCGGACTACTTCCTAAATTAAAACAAAAGCCATGGAGAATTAATTATAAATTCGGACAAGTACATTTTTCAAACCTTAAGGTATGATTGTAAAATAAACAGCATTTTTATACTGTAAAATTATTTTATTGCATAAACGACTACTTGTGTCTTACGTACTTGAATAAAATTTATTAAATTTTCGATTATTCTTGCTACTTGATAACTACCTGATTTACAGACTAACGTATAACTAAATAATTATGAAATTGATGGTACTTAAATTAGAAATTTTCTTTTCCATTATAATGTGTAAGCCCAATGTCTCAAATCTCGACGCTTACAAAAGAAAAGTCGATAAATTTATTCGATACATTGCCATAATTTTTCTACAGAACTTCATTTTTGTTAAATTTTACAACTTTAGTACCTAAGGGTAGTAAGTAAGGGAGCTCCAAGCACTCGTTCGAAACTAATGATAGATAAGTTAAAAATATATCGTAATACACTTTATGTAATTTGCATACTTAACATTAAAACAACGCGACGATAAGGAAATTATCGAGCCGTGAGTCTATAAAGCTTATCAATTCATTTTCATAAAAATTAATATTCTGTGTGATCGCATATGGAATCCCTTCAATGCCCACGCCTCCCCAACGAAATCAAGTCCCCCTAACCGAGGCTCGACTTGTCCGGCTCCAGGCAGCTATCCAGCTCATTATCAGGTAGGCTCCACTCCTGGATCTTGGGCAGCGTTTGGCTCCGCTGGTGGATGGACTCGCGAACGGGACTCGTGGGTGAGAGTCGCTTGCCGATGGTGACGGCAGCGACCGCCGCTAGCGGCAGACCCTCGACCTTTACTGGCAGGATGCCGTTCACGCGTCCGTTGGTCGCGAACACGTGAAGAGCCCCGGACTGAGCGACGAGACCCGCGAGGGAGGAGCGCTTCCGTAAATTGCTGAGCTGCTGGGCGGAGGAACCGGCACCGGTGGCCCCGGCGGTGCTGTCGTCATCCGAGTCGAAGGCTGGACTGCTCGAGCGCTCTGACTTTTCCACTTCCATCGCCGATGGCTCCACCTGCAAGTGGTATTGTTCTCGACTAATCAACGCGGCTTTTATCAAGATTTATCAATTCATTATCGTCGCATTTCATCAGCTGCGCACAAGTGCGATCTGAAGATCAGCTACTGCCTTACACATTTAAAGGTGCGCGTATTTAAGTTGAAAGTGCCTCGCTAACGTTTGTACTGAAATTTCACAAGAGAAATGCCTTTTACGCATCACTCTCTTCGTCCTTATCACTTGTACAATTGCAATCGTCAATTTAAACACTCTTTTTCGTCATTCTTTCTTCTTATATAAATTAATTTCTATTAATTAAGCCATTCTGATGAAAATATCGATTCAAATAGAAATTAAAACATGTATTATAAAAATAATATTCTGTCGCTGTATGTGAAATTATGTAAATGATGTATGAAATTAATTGGCCATCGTAATAAGCTACTATTCCGTTAAAAATCATTAGAATCAAAATAACATGAAATTATATGTAATTGATGATACATTGCTTAAATGGAAAATATTGCTTATGTTGCATGAAATTTATTTAATTGTATTTATAGATTTAATTTTGAAAACATAATCGGTAATTGACTTAAGATAAATCAAAGTATTGGACAAATTATCCTAATACGTGTGAACGTTAAAGTAGAACCAAGCAAAGCATTACTATTACTTTAAAAACTGTACTTCACGTAGTTAATCAAAGGAGAAAAAAAAGAGAAAAAATTAATGTCAGAGAACAGTGATGATTCTAATTAAGCACATTCAACAAATAAATTTGACAATGTAGTTTAAAAGTGTAAACCGACATTACCTTAATACGATTCACATAAAAATTTGCCCTCGTCCACACTGATAATCGTCGCGCTCACCTTCGTCTCGACGTGGGCCTTATTGCCACAAGGCTTGTGCGTTTCGTGAAGGACCTGGGCCCTCTCGGCATTACCAGCCCCATCTTTGCCGGCTGTTGACGCTAATGTGCGCTCGATGGTCGTGACGATGCTCGTAGTGGTGACCGTCGTCGTTATGGGAGACTTGGGCGTATCCGGGCTCAGTATCGTGCTCGACGTCTTGGCGATGCCGATACCGGCCGCGCGACCCGCCATCCCCGACATCGCCCCCGCGCTCAGCGCTACCATTGACTGCATCTTCCGCTGCTTCGCCTCGCTCTTCTTCTGCATGTCGTAGGCGGTTTTGTAGATGCCGCCATACAGAATGAAAAGCACTATGAGGGTTGTCCAGTAGTAGCCAATTATCAGGGCGGTATTGAATATCGGATCCTTTAATGATACAATGGTACGAGGGTCATGAAGCAGTGGGAATTGCCAGAGGAGAAATAAGCCACGTGATATTGAATCGATTTTGAATGGAGCGCGAAGCTGTGGGTACTGGAGATGAATTTACTCGCTGGTAATGTCGCGCGTGCCAATAGCGCAAGGAAACGAAATTATTACCAAAGTAAGATGAGACTTGTCACGCTTTCCCTAGTCACGCACTGCGGTACAATAATATTATAACGTTATTTCCCAACCTTGTCTACTGTTTACTTCATTTGCGAATCAACGATTACCGTCGATAACAAGAACAAAACAAAGAAAGCTCTTGTCCCGTTTAGGGGCTTATGTTTCAAACCAGTTTTATCGCTCCTATCGGCATTCTGTATTATTCAGCCTCCAACGGAATGCTAAGGATGGCAAGGAAGCTGCTCAAACTATCAACTCCGTTCCTCGCTTTCGCTCCACTAAACTATTCAAACTCATCATTAAGCTAGTGGAGTTGGATTCACAATCCTTACAAGTGTACATTAAACTCAATAAAATAAAGAAATTTCATAGGATAAATTACAACAATATTTATATTTATCCGTGTAATGCTTTCAGAAGCTCAATACCGTATAGATTATGTTCATTTGCTGCTGAAAATTAACGTTACTTTTACATCTTTTACATTTTTATATTCACAATTTATTACATTTACTTGTATTAAAGTAGTACGCCTTAGAATTAAGCTTTTGTGCAGAAATTGTGCGTATAATTTGCATATATCCTTTGAAAGAGCATGAAATATGTATTTATTTTTGTTGTTAAAGAAAATGTCAGATTGATAAAATGGACACATTTGACACTTGACGACATTTGACCATTTGGATTCTATGCTTATTTAACAACTATTTGAATAAATAAGATTGCGAATCCGGTCTATAAGAAAATCTTCTAAGTCATAGCTTTGCGAGTTAAAGTTACTAGTTAATATTTGCTATACCAAAGAGGAAAAATAATCGCCATATTTTCCATATAAATGCTCTATTTATATTCTGAACATCATTTGTGTTAAAAAAAAAAAAAAAAAAAAAAAAAAAAAAACCGTAAAACAGCACGAACTCATATTATTCGAAACAATGCGATAAGGCAATAAATGGATAGAATCGTTGCAATTCGATCGTTGCAATAATTTATAGGAGCGAACTTACTTTTAAAAACTGCACGACGCACTCTCCAGGTGCCAAATCCCGAAAACCGATGAAATGCTCCCATCCAAAGATACTAATGAAAAACAAAAGTGCGGGTATGATCCAAGTTATCGTGACCATCCATATAACTCGGTTCTTGGTGCGCCAGCCACGATACTTGGCGGCAATCTTGACGGAACAGAATCGATCGATGGTTATAAGAAGCACCGTGTATTGTGATACGAGACAGACGGTATAGTCGACAGAGAGCCACAAGTCACAAAGTAACGGCCCCAAATGCCAGTTGCCCATTAGCACGTACACCGTGTAGAACGGCATGGAGACTGTACCTGTAATCGTACGACTGTAACAATCTGTCCTTCTCCCTTAAGCTCTCGTTCTCTCTCCTGTCTTAAGCGTTAAGGTTCGTTAATTATTATGCGACAATGCACGGGGGTATGGAAAAGTGGTAATGTGGTATGACACGCGGACGTGTACGAGATGTACAAGTGCCGATCTAACGCCGGGTAAGTTAAGATGAACACATTCGCCGGAAGTTTAACGAACTTTCGCGTGGATTATAATGGAATTAGTTAATATAAAATAAGACATTGCCGTAAAGTGGGATTTTAAAGTACATTGCGTGCAGGTGAATGCATCGATAAGTATCGATATCATGATTATGGTGATATTGTATATGGAATTGATTTATTATATGTTTATTGGGGGGTGGGGGTGGTGGGTGTTAGAAGGGTGGCATGGGGGAGCTAGAAAATGAAAAGAAAGAAAGAAAGGAAGTGGGACGAAATGAGAAATACGAGAAATGAAGGAAAAAGTCACGCAGTTCTCTATAGTGTAAGCACTGGAAATCGACGGCAATATTATCATTATTGTCTGACAAAATAATTCCGTACGTCAAAGTGGATGATCATCGAACGAAGGCATCATTTTATTTTTGCGGTTTTGGCTTTAAACGTAGTTGCGTAATGTGAAATCACAGGATAACGTTGTGGTGTCTCGATTATACGGGCGCTTATGTTGACTACAGGCATGCACGCGCGCATTGAGGTATCGCATTTACCGTACACATGTCGATATTATGTGCCTCGGAATGATGGACGGTGGCGGCGGCGGCAACGGCGGCAACGAAGGTGGTGGTGGAGAAGGTGGTGGTGGAGAATATGGTGGTGGTTATGGTGGCGGTGGTGACGATGGTGTGATGAGAGGGGAGAATTAGCTACTCACCGATGAGCATATCAGTAGCGGCGAGAGACGCGATGAAATAATTGCTCGGTTGTCTGATGGTTCTGTCGACGATGAACGCCAGGAGTACGAGGATGTTGCCACCCACTGTTAGCACTATACAAATCCCGAGGGCCAGGGCGATCAAAATGGTCTGCCAGAGCTCGAACGGCGGCAAAACGGGATCCAGAAAATCCTCTGTACAATATCGAAATACCCATTTGGTGTGGAAAAATCGACCTCTTACTTTAGTATCGCATTGTCATTAGGAGCGATAGGCTTCAACGGGAAATTAAGACGGAGGGATTGGGAAATCGCTCGTCATATTAAAATATCGATGGGATTTCGTGCTGGATATTAAAGTAATTAAAAGACAATTGAGAAAATTTAAGTGAAGTGCTTTATTGGTAAGGTATTTTATTAGCTGCTTTAGTTTCTCTGCTTTAGTCATATAAATATTGATTTAAAGAATATTGTTAACTAGCATTTATCATTACTAAAGCAAATGAATTCCAAGTATTGCACATTTAAAATGGATTAGTCTTTATAATCAATCAAGTAATAACAACAACAACAACAACAACAACAACAACAACAACAACAACAATACAATTAATATAATAATGATAATGATAATGATAATGATAATGATAATGACAATGATAATGATAATGATAATAATAATAATAATTTTCGAACTCTTATTTTGAATTAATATTCGGCTCGTAAAAGGAAATAAAAGATTTGCAACAATTTACTACTACAACATTTTCATGATGATAGAACTTTGAGACTAAATTATGCATAATTTGTTAAACTTGATTATCTCAATTTGCTGCTTCATTATTCACCATTCAATATCAAAGCGCTAATTTCTACATTATAAAGTTGTCTCCTAATATATTCCGTACTAAAATTGAAATTGTACATATACTTTTCATTAATATTTGAGGTAACGCATTTGTACTTTAAATGAAAGTGAAGTTCATCGTTTCAGCCATACTTTTATTTAATATTTCCTTCTAATCTCAATGCACGAGTGAAAAAGTTCAAATTTCTTTTACAGATTCTCGGATCAATAATAGATAAATTGAATAGCCTCACTCGGTGTAGTTGGTGTATTGTGGGATTGTTTAAAGGTTTTTATTAAGTCTGAGAAAGAGATTTGCCGAGACTGGAGTGAGAAATAAGAAAGCGCTTATTATACTAAAAGAATAGTGAAAATAATATTATAACGTCAATGTATCGACTAACCCTGCATGGCGAAGGTTTCGTTGCCGGGTGCCGAGAAATTGGTAGTGTTGATGGCAAACCAGTTGGAGCAAAGCTCAGTGTAGTCTTCGTTGCCCTGTCTCGGGTCATTTTGGTCCGACCAGTTGCCGTTTACCTGAGTACACTCGGCAGTCAATACATTATTGTAAACGAAACGACAAACTCGCTCTTGCTGCTTCTTCAATTTCCTGCAAATGAAAAGGCGAAGGAAGAATTCGTTTATTATCGATTCACAAGTTCGAGATATAAAACGAGTCCGTTATATTTTATCGCTTATGTATACTCAGAAAGATAATCCTGGAATAAAGATTCTTACTCTCTAGAGACAATCCAGAGATTCCAGTGGTATAAATGAGACAATTATAGTTTTAAGATAATGCAAAATTAATAGACATATAAATTATAATGATTTGGAATTGGTTTTTTTTTTTTTTTTTTTTTTTTTTGAAGAATTTAAATTAAGTTATTATTGGGGTCACGGATATGTTTATGTTTATAGCGATTGCGATCTTACATACTTCAGGTGGATTGTACTGTATAGGTGCTTATACGATTAACTGAAACTTACTCGATACTTATAGCTTAGGGATAATTTATCATCGTCATTAAATCATCTTTTTCGAATTAAAATAATCAGTGGAAAAAAAACTTGATTAGAAAGAATGCGTTTGCCATTTTATCAATGGCAATGATGATGATTAGCATGACACAGATACACTGTAATTACACCCAACATCTCTATACGTGGAAAAAAAAAATCAATCATCTCTCTTTTCATTCACAATTGTACGGATGCATTCGGCTGAAAATTTTCGAAAATATTACCATAAAGCCCGCAGATTTTCAGCAAAAAATAGTATAACCTACGAACGTACTACACTTGAATAAATGTCTGCCAATTTTATAATGTACTCGCTAAAAAGCATCTAAGTCCATGGAGTCCTTTAAAATGAATATTAGCGAATTCGATATGTAGCGAATAGGGGCACATCGGCTTTAAAAAGACGGCACAGAGAAATGACGAAAATTAAGGGATAAGCATTATTTATAAACATTACTAAGTACTTTTAAGGGATTCAGCAGGCAAAGGACAGGGCGCTTAGCAGGAACGACGCCAAGGGGTAAAAGTGAGGTTGAGTCTAGACAGCCGCTGGACGATAGAGGGAGATGAGGGACGACGACGACGACGACGACGACGACGACGACGACGACGACGACGACGACGACGACGACGACGACGACGACGACGACGACGACGACGACGACGACGACGACGACGACGACGACGACGACGACGACGACGACGACGACGACGACGACGACGACGACGACGACGACGACGACGACGACGACGACGACGACGACGACGACGACGACGACGACGACGACGACGACACGTCAAAGGCTGAATACAACGGGCGCACAATGAGCTTGAAATAAGCATGAATGGAACGGCATCGCGAGCGAATAGCTCTCATAGTTCCCACGGCTTGACGAGCCGACGGGTAACGGCGGCTTTAGACAGGGGAAACTGCCATTTTAAATAATTCAACCCGTCGATTGCACAGCGACTGCCCTCCTACTACTACTAGTCGTTCTGAATAATCGCACTCTATCTCCCTTTGGCGTCACTTCTTGGGGGAGAAAAAAGTTCATACATCCCATAGGAAAAGCGCCTTTAGGTTTTACAAAAGTTACTGTTTTTCCCTTCGGTGTTTCTAAATAAGCTTAGGGATATTAAAGTAACGATGGTGCACCAACCCGAGGAGCTTGCAAAATAATCACATACAACGATTGTCGTACTATTCATAAATAAGCAATTGATCTTATGCTTGTTAATTAGCTATTTAAGCGAGCCGTGGCACTAATTTATAAATAGATGTTTTGCCCTGCGTACGAGTGTGTTTTTATATGTAAGAATTTGTTTAATGAAAATTAAACTAATCGTTAACGCCACTCGTCAACGTCATTCTTATTGGTTCACGCACGTTATTTATTCACACGCCTCCCTCCCTCCCACGCCACACATGCCTAATATTTCCGAATATTACTATCTACTACAAGATATTCACCTACTATTTTTAAAAGTATCTATAATAATGAACAATTTATATAAGAGTTATATTAATCCTTTCATTTTCTGCGAATAAGCGTGGATTCGATATTAAGCTCTGAAAATTTAAAATTAAAAACGTCTTTCTCGTACTTATTGGACCATGAATGACTGATCATTTTAAAACAAAAACGCATTAGGTAATCTTTTAAATATAATGAATAGTATTATGAATACACATTATGCAAAATTCTTATATTATACATATTTTTATATTCAAATCTATTCTTTGCATATTTAGATATGAAGATTAAAGAAAAGAGTTTTTGCATCTACTTTACGAATACATGCATAAGTTAAAAAATTTATTAAAAAATTTTATAAAAATTACAAAAACAATTTTCAACATTTTTTCATTTAATATAAACTATTTAAATACTGATATCTCTATGAAACGTTTGTTAAAAATAATTATTTATACCAAGTTTCGTATAGATGTTTTATAATATACATCTTAAATTTAAAATTAAACATTATCGTATTTGCATAAATTAACAAGATTCGCTATTATATATAAATATTTTGTATTTGGAAAATTAAGTATATGATAAATAATCTGAGTACTCAAACATCAAATATAATCATATTTAGCGCAATGTCTATTAATACGCTAATACAACGTATTGACAATTTAAAAAATATTATAAGTCTCGAAACATAATAAATACTAGAAATTATAACATTATAACGTTTCAAAGCATATAAAACTAAATACTAAGAAGAAATGTAGTAAATTAAAAGACTATGACAGCATGGAAGAATAGCTGGGAGAGAGAGAGAGAGAGAGAGAGAGAGAGAGAGAGAGAGAAATTGACAAGTAGATCATAAAAAAGAGATAATGTTATGAGACTTTTGGAGATTTCTCTTAGGCAAAATAATATGAGAAAAGCAATAGGAATAAATAGTCACTGGTAGATTTGTAGATGACATCCATTGTTTGTGGCATCCAAGTCAGGAGAAGTAAAAAATTCTTCAAAAAGTAAAATTTACACAAAATGTTTCGTGCACATCGATGCAGCTTTTATCGTTACGTTTTGAAATAGAAAAGCTAAATCAAATACTCGAATAAATAGACTCTATAAATATACTCGCGAATATAAGCAAGCAGAAAAGAAATTAATAATAATTATAATAATAATAAATTGCACCTATTTTAATAATCCACTATCTGTGCAATTCATAATTGTTTATTTTTTAAATTGAAACTACTAATGAAAGTAAAGTACTTTAAGTATATAGAATTTTTTATCATCCATTCGAACAACTTTTTAAATATACAATGAAATTATTTTTTATTAGTATTAAAATTTACACAAAATTGCATACTAAATTAGACACTTGGATTCAAATTGATCCTTTGATTATTAAAGATAATAGTACTTCAATATTTGGAATGTAAAAGTCTATTTCCCATTGAAGTAAAAGATGTAACTCTATAACATATTGAAAAAATATAATGAATTTTTAATTACCTTATTAACGTTCCCTATAGATGATTATTTTGAATGTAAAAAGTCTTCGTTTACATTAATAAATGAAGTTTATAATGAATAAGTTTCAATTACTTTATTCAATAGTTATTGGAGAAAAAATAGTAAACCTTTCTTTTTTTTCAATATTACAAATCTTTACTTAATAAAATAATTCTAATTATGATTTCAAACGTAATTTTTTCTTTTTTATCCTTTTAAAAATTTCACACCCGTCAATATAAATTTCAAATCAATTTTCAAAGATCTTATTTAGATAATTTATTTAGATATTATTTAGAAATTACTGATTATTTTGAATTTCGTGATCAGTTAACAATATCTGTATAAAGCTGAATACTGGTAAAGCTTCAAACAATAGAACAAAAGCTATTTAACTCTTTTTATAATCTATACATAAAAATATAAACTACTATTTTACTCGCTGTGAATGATTTTTAACTATAGATTCAAATAGAGCATCACCGTTATTATCAGTTGTACTTTTCTACAAATGAAAACAAAAATAAAGCAACAAATTGTAGGAAAAAAATAAATAAATAAAATAAACAATTACTTATTCATACGGAGGCTGTACTATCATTTTCAATAATATCATATTATATTTCATCTGTCATATCGCGTAACAATATATAATAGCGAAAATGTTGGAACAATCAAAATTGTTTATTTCCTATAATATGTTGATTATTTAATATAATAGGCAATTATATTGCTCATTATACTACAATAAAAATTAAAATTATTCTTTTATTTATGATTTTAAACATTTTTTTAATGCATGCAAAGTATACTGAGCTAACAAGTCGATGTTACAGTTAACTATTAATTGCACGAACAAATGCTAGTTGTTGAGATTTTGGAATTGCCTAGGATTTCGACAGCTTGTTAGAATTAAAACCAATAGTCGTATATACGATATGTTAGTAAAAGCATTACTGATTCGTGGACAATGAAAAAGAAAATAGACGAGTTGGCAAAAAATTCGCAGAGTGAAATTGAGAGAAAGAATAAAATGAATAGAACAGCTAAATATATAGATAGATAGATAAATAGATAGATAGAAAATAGATAAATAGATGGAATAATGGATGGATCGATTCACTGGCTGGCGGGTGGAGGAGTGGGAGAGAGAGAGAGAGAATAAAGGTAAATGGGAGATGGGCGATACGCAGAATGCATAAGTAATAAAGATTCATCGTTGTTGTGTAGTAATAATCGTACATACGTACGTACGAATGTGAGTAGTGAAAAGTAATGCATGAGAAACAAAGAAGAAAAAAAGAAACTGGTAGAATCGACAAAAAAGACTCAAATGGAGCATAGTTGATCCCATGTAATGCAAAAGCAATGCACAAAAAGAATGCGGAAAGATAAAGTTTGAAAGCATTGCCGGGGAGATGGATGATTGTGTGGGAGTCAACAAGTACTCACCCGTTGGATTTGCGCTCTTTGTCAGGAACGAGTTGTGCTATTATACGAATAGAGAGACGGTAGGCAGCGTTCCAACGAATCATGCACGCTTACATTCCTTGCTTTATTTTACTTTCCTATTCATTAACCCAATGTATAAACTATATCAATGTAAACTGTTGCACTCTTGTTCTTCGGAAGATGCAATCCCGTTGCGTATGGCAACCCGAAGCTTAAGTGCTTAACTCTATTAGTTTGATCTAATTGTTGGGATTATCTAGATTTGCTTTCACGGAGACAAAGTGGAATATTCTTTTTATTTTACATATATTGCCATGGTAATTACATTCATGGGGCTTAAAGCGCACTAGGTTAATGATTGAAAAAAACGTTATTTAACTATTTGTCAATTTTTATGTTATCCCCGTAAAGAAAACTTTTTCATTAAAAACTGCACTTTGGCTGAATGTCACCATATATATATATATATATATATATATATATATATATATATATTTCTATTCAACTATTGATCTATCGAATGCTCGGATAATATTGGGATGATTGATTTTTTTCTTTCATTTTTTTACACCAACAGTTACTAAACATTTGCTCGAAATAAAAAGATACGGAATTTATAGCCAAAAGCATATGGTATATTGAAAAGTGAAAGCTAATATTATTATTATTGTCTGACACATAAATCATAATTCGTCTAATATATATTAAAGTATTCTCGTTCAGAAAATATTTGTATATATATATATATATATATTAACACATTCTATATATACAGTAACAGATTAGAAAACAATTTGATAAATTATGGAGAGATTTCAATAATTAATGACAATTTGAAAACAATAAATATTGCCAACTTCAGCGTTTTAAAAATGAAATTATTAGGCCTGAATTCAAATCTTTTGTAAATCTAGTCCATAAGTACCTTTGAATGTTTAGCCTCCCAGAGCTAATAAATGGCCAAAAAATAACAAAAAATCCTTATCAAAGTTGGTCGCGAACTCATACAATTATGAGTCATGGGCGTAAGATCGAGTGCCAATCATTAGAAGGCTAGACGAGAGAGAGAGAGAGAGAGAGAGAGAGAGAGAGAGAGACAGAGTGAAAGAGCATGCGAGGGGAAGGTATGAGAAAAAGAATGAGAAAGAGAGGGAATGAAGATTTGTGGGCAACGAAAGAAGGAACGCTTATGCATCCATTTCCCGAGCTATTCCCGTCTTCGTTGAATGGGCCATAGACCGCAACGCTGTTTGTCCCGCAGATGCATTATGCGCGCAATTCCGTAGTCTATATACGCCGTAACCTATTTTACCTTTGCGCCGTCGTCACCAGCACCGACGACCCACATAAATTCTAGCGGACATAATGGAAACACGAGCAGTTGAACCCTCTTGTGCACCTGCGTGTCTTCGTATTTTTCAGCTCATCGCAGCTTTGCCTTAGATGCCCGGGTGTTGCGTGTGTACGGGCACCGGCAAAAATTATACGGCAATTTGACCATTGTCCTCGTGTATGTACACACACTTGTGTTAAAAAGCAACACAAACAAAACAACATATAACAACAAAAAAACAACATAAAAGCAATTACATCGTTGTGATTGTATTATTTTCCATTCTCACATTCCATTCTCCACACTTGTGCACGTTCGTGGCAATCGATAAATTTAATTGAAATGATCAATTGATTAAGGCATTACCAAAATTTGCCTACGATGAATAAGCTATTCTTCTCCATGATCGGTTCATTTTTTAATAAAAATTGATTTTTACGAATATACGAATGAGAGATTGCGAGAGCATTTTATTACGTGTGTTTATGAGAGTACTGAAAATAATAATTTTTCCTGGATATAAAATTTACTGTTGATTTTGTAATGGAACTTTAAACATTAAAGTAACTGCTTCTACTGCTGCTGCTGCTGCTGCTGCTGCTGCTGCTGCTGCTGCTGCTGCTGCTGCTGCTGCTGCTGCTGCTGCTGCTGCTGCTGCTGCTGCTGCTGCTGCTGCTGCTGCTGCTGCTGCTGCTGCTGCTGCTGCTGCTGCTGCTGCTGCTGCTGCTGCTGCTGCTGCTGCTGCTGCTGCTGCTGCTGCTGCTGCTGCTGCTGCTGCTGCTGCTGCTGCTGCTGCTGCTGCTGCTGCTGCTGCTGCTGCTGCTGCTGCTGCTGCTGCTGCTGCTGCTGCTGCTGCTGCTGCTGCTGCTGCTGCTGCTGCTGCTGCTGCTGCTGCTGCTGCTGCTGCTGCTGCTGCTGCTGCTGCTGCTGCTGCTGCTGCTGCTGCTGCTGCTGCTGCTGCTGCTGCTGCTGCTGCTGCTGCTGCTGCTGCTGCTGCTGCTGCTGCTGCTGCTGCTGCTGCTGCTGCTGCTGCTGCTGCTGCTGCTGCTGCTGCTGCTGCTGCTGCTGCTGCTGCTGCTGCTGCTGCTGCTGCTGCTGCTGCTGCTGCTGCTGCTGCTGCTGCTGCTGCTGCTGCTGCTGCTGCTGCTGCTGCTGCTGCTGCTGCTGCTGCTGCTGCTGCTGCTGCTGCTGCTGCTGCTGCTGCTGCTGCTGCTGCTGCTGCTGCTGCTGCTGCTGCTGCTGCTGCTGCTGCTGCTGCTGCTGCTGCTGCTGCTGCTGCTGCTGCTGCTGCTGCTGCTGCTGCTGCTGCTGCTGCTGCTGCTGCTGCTGCTGCTGCTGCTGCTGCTGCTGCTGCTGCTGCTGCTGCTGCTGCTGCTGCTGGTGCTGCTGCTGCTGCTGCTGAGCGTATCAGAATGAGATAAATTTATTAAATAATTAATGTTTTCCTTTGACTCAATTATTCAATTTTGAAACAATATCTGTGCATGCATCGTGGCAATTTAAAATTTTAATTTCCATCATAGCCAAGTTTTACAGTACGTTAGTAAAATCAAAAAAATTCAATTTAACTTTTACGATTAATTTTTTTTCTAAAAAGCAATACTTACATTGAAACAAAGAATTAAATGTCTCGCTTTAATGGGAAAATTCAACATTCCAGAGAAAAGAAAATTTGAATTTAAAAATGGAATATTCATAATTTTATTTTTACTGCACTAAATACTCTAAAATGATTTTTTTTTCAAATCCAATTTCCTATGAAAAGCTTCTTTTTAATGTGACAAATAATAATAAATACAAAATTAATATAATAAGATCATTATGTAACCGTGTGCAATGAAATTGCTGCTTATATCAAATTTCTTAAATAAATGCTAAATTATCATTTTCATTTTGTAATAATTTTTAAATTAAATTTTATTCAATATTTTCTTTGAAATCGATAATAATAATATTATCAGTCATAAGTATAAAATATACATTGTTTTCAATTCAAATCATTTTTATATTTTCATTGTTATTATTCGACTAGTTTATATACTATCGCTTTATACTCTGGAATTGTGCAATATTTATATGAAATATCATACCATATAATTTATAAATGAATCAATGCTTTAATTGAAAAACTTTCAAACATTAATTTCGTAACAAAAACCTCTTAAGAAATGAAAGAAAGTTTTTTGCTATGCATAACTTCTCCTTATAATTACACTGTTATTCTCGTTTACATATTCTATATAGGCGAAATTAAATGAAACATAATACGGTAAAATAATTTATATAAATCCATATATATGCATTCTACATATTTGACCTAGTCTACTTAATATTTATATCGCAAGTTTTAACTAATTCGAAATGTAATTTCATACTGAAAAAAGAAATATGAAAATCACATTGTAAACTCTATATTAAATTCTATTTCAATTTGCATTTTAATATTAAAATTACAATTTTTTATTTATTATAACTATAAAGGTCGAATTGAATCGAAATGAAGAAAAAAGAAAATCATTATTTGAGCAACAATTGTGTTCTAAAAATTATCTGGCTTTATGTAGAAAAGTGAAAGTTTACCTTAATAGATTTGAATTGAAACCACCGTATAAACAGGGTACTTAGAATAAAAATTAATTAATGCACATCATATATATGCAGAAAAGAAATATTTTAATAATATTCTACAAATTCATAAAATATAAAACGTGTGATATTTCATAAAATAAAAGAAATCACTTTTTCGAGTTTGTTATCAATGCCGCAGATTTCATCACTTTAAAATCTTTCGTAAATGTACATTTACATAAATATATATCTATATGTGTACGCATACTATCCCGAGTACGATATATTTCTATTTTACCATCTTCCTTCATATTCGATGCAAACTCTTGGGCTTTTATTTCGTTGAGAAATAACCTCTAGCCGCAAGCATTTCTCCTTCTCTCTCTGTCTCTCTCTCTCTCTCTCTCTCTCTCTCTCTCTCTCTCTCTATATATATATATATATATATATATATATATATTTCTGCTTTTTACACAAATATACATACACAATTTATCTCAACTTTTTTTGCCCTCCTTTTTTTATTTTGTCATTGGATCTTTTCATTTCTAACGCATTTGAGTGCTAGTAACAGTAGCAGCCATACTAGGACAGTTGAATAAGGACTTTATCTTAAACTCGTTGTGACTGCCCTAAGGCAAAACAACAGATTTTTCGCCCTCGTCTCCACCATTTCCATGTTTCACAGATGAATGCTCCAGGTCCATTGATGAAAAGCGCATTCCTCACTTTCATCCTATATACCAATAGAGATGGTAACTTCTTATATGCTTTCAAAAATCGAGCATATATCGCGCAATGGTGCAGAAATATAAAAAAAATGTTAAAAAGAAAGGTAAAAGACGATAAACAGAATGTTTAAAACAGAATATGGCATAAAGTTTGTAGGTAAAGAGAGGAAGAGAGCGAGTTCTACAAACGGAAATGCAGTTTTCTCGGGTGGAAGCTATCACGTGCATTGGGGTTTAGAGGCTCTCTCGATCTATTTCGCAAATCGGATTTACAACTCCATCCTTGGGAAATTTTTACGGATAGAGGAACAAATTTTACAAGATGCAATCACATTTCTTATGTAAAAATATTGCTGTGCAGGAATGTCCAGGATGACTTCATATTTTGTGAGAGGACATTCGCATGAAATACATTTTTAATATATCTCATTTATGAAAAGCCCTTTTTAAAAATAACAATATTTATGCATTTCAAGTAAATCTATATATTTAAATAATTGTTATAAATATGCACGAAAAATACAGCTTTCGATACGTCGAGCGTATAATTTATTGGATACCGTCATAATGAGTAATATTTCATAAAATTTTAACTTTTATGAAAGCGATAATTTAAACTTTAATTAATTCATTCTTATTATCCTATTCAGATAGGCCTTTGAAAGTTTTAATACTCAATATTAGCATCGCAATAAATAATCCAATAAAAACAAAAACAAAGACAAAATATTATTAAAAAATGTAGATAGATGTCATGAAATTTGTTACTAAAAAAAATTATTCTCCTTGAACTATTATTAAATAAAAAAATTATATTTGCAATAATTATAGAGCCTAATAATAAAATACTTTTTAATTAAAATTTATATGTTGATAAATAAGTTTCTAATTCTACTGATAAAATCTTTATGAGAGTTCTTAAATCACAGTTTACAATTAGGAAGTTCGGTTTTAAAGATATTTAATAGTCGAAGTAGTATTGCATCCGAAAGTTTAATAGAAACAAAAGTATAAAGCCTTTCTTTAATAATTTAGCGCTAACGATGTTGACGTAGAAACTGTTTTTACGAATGGAAAAAAAAAAAAAAAAAAAAGATAACCGCTTTTTTCTTATATTATTTATTATTTTTATTTTTTCTGTACGCAAATTAAAAGTTTCTTCTTATTATTTCGTGCCTTTATTTATATTTGAGATATCTTATTTTATTATTTTTCGCTTACTCGCACCTTTTTATTTTAATAATCATTGTTTAAGTTACAAATATATATATATATATATATATAAATAATTAGAATCCATAGAATAATAGAAATTACTCAACATATTTTGCAATTAATTGCTTCAATCTATGTGTATCATTTTATTTGATATATTGATTATTTGAAATAATAAATATTTGATAATTATTATAATAATGGGTAACTATGTGTTTTAATATTGTATGAAACATTGTAATGAAAGCTTTATATATATATATATATATATATTTTTTTTTTCTCTCTCTATGCATTAAGATAAAAATCGCAATGACAATCCCTAAACCACTAAATATCCCGCAAATTATAGTGTAAAGCAAGTTGATTGTTTTTCCTCGTTGGTAGTAAAAGCAACCACAATTTAATTCTTTTTTTTTTTCTTTTTCTTTTTTTTTATCTCGATGTAATGCTCAAAATGTCATTCTTTTACATGTGCGCATAAGCTAGCGACACTTCATTTTTGTCAGCGATTTCCCCTTATCTTATCTATTGAGGAAAAAAGCTAGCCTGAAACCGAATCTCTTTGAATGTAAGGAACAGGAAAAAATTAGTAAAGGCATGTAATCTATTACAACCTATCTAAGCAAGGCAATTGTCACCTTCGTTGATAAGTATTTACTTACCGAAACATAGACGAAATATTTTTGAAAAATCAATAATTTTTCAACTTCATTGACTATTTTATATTTCATGATGGTAAAAACATTATTAAAGATCAATTTATATAACATTGATTTTTATTTAGCTATAGTTTTTGTATTTTCAATCCTTGTAACTTCTTTTTAATTATGACATTCTTGTTTTAATCGTCCGTATACTTTTCGAACTTCAAGTTTAGTTTTCCATAAATTCTTTTTTGAAAACTTCTTCTTCTTCTTTATCGTTATTAATTTTATTTTTAAAATGCTATTTCATTAGAAAATCGAATAAGCTATTTTTTCAACGAACGGCAAATTCAGTTTAACAGGTTTTTTCTACTTACTAAATCAACAAAAATTAAACATTATAGCTGTCTGAAAATGTATGTATTTATCCCTAATAGTATTTATTATCAATTTATATAAAGAGTCAATATTGGCGAGAAAATGTGTCTAATGCAAGATTACAAACTTCCTTTGATCGAGTAATTCCATTATTTTTTATTTACAGGAAATTCGTTAAAATGAAAAAATTGATTAAGTGTTTGGGTGTATTTTATAAAAGAATTTCAACAATACTGTTTATCTAGATTATTAGACTGTAACATATGTAGTAAATAAAATATACTTTATGAGAGACGAGTAAATCGTTTGTGACTGAAGTTTTTCTTCACTCATAATATATTTGATTTATAATATACAATAGCACGTTATATCATATAAGTAAAAATTTCAAGATTATAAATCAGCTGATGATTTAAAGACATATAAGTAAATATTGTTAATAGAAATATATTTCTAAAAATATAAATTAACTTTTATAACAAGAAGATATTTATTTCCTTATCCGATGATAGTATATTTTATAGAAACTAGAGGTATAATATATATATATATATATATATATATATATATATATATAATTGGTTCTCGTTCGGAAAAATTCTTGTCTACAAATATAAATATTATTTAAAATGAAAATATGTACTAGAAACTAATATCTTGCATCTACATATAATCCACAATAATTTTAATATAATATTGTTAAAGGCAGGTATTTTAATTTCAAACGCTTCATACACATTATAAGAATCAATTATATATATAAATACAAATATGATGGGAATTTATGGCATTCCCCTGGCGCATTTGAGCACATTACTGAAATTTACACTGATGTAATAATAATAGTACATTGTCCGACGAATATTATTTGTATTTAATATTTACTTCGTGCCCATTAGATATTATTTCCACTATGTATTATGTTTAATACATATATTTTCTTAGGAATTATGGAATCATGTTTAGAGCATTTTTTGTCAGTAAATCAGGAAATTCCAACTATGTATTATAAACTTGTTCTACGAAAAATTGTTTTTAATGAAGTATCGGATCATTGTAATTGCAATACCAAGTAATATGATAAATATTCATAGAGCAATAGAATATACTATCTCAAATTTATTTATCATATGATCTTATATTAATACAATTTAAATAATAATTGATATTATTAAAATATAAAAACATACTTTGTTTGTTATCTTTAATATTGGTCGTATTACATACGAAGACAACATTCATAGTATTAAAATAAAAGATTTTTATTTGAAAATATAAAAAATGCTTAATAATTTGCGGAATATTTTTACGAATACTTTTATCAGATGTTATTATAAAAAATTGTTAATAATTGAATTAGACGGGAAAACATTTTTAAGTTAATTCTTTAACTCAGTGATTGAGAAAGCGTTGGAGAGTTTTGACGGGAAGTTACTACATTACTTAAAATAATATCGTGAAAATAATTATTAGATTTTCATTTATTTAAAAAATTAATATTTGAAAATTTCTGCATAGCCTTATAAAAAAAAAAAAAAATTACTATTTAAAAAAAATGCTCATTACAGAAGATTAAATAGAATGAATGAATATGTAAAGGATATAAAATTTTATATTCATTTTGAAGTGAAATTAGACCACTGTGGCTCTAAAAGTGGGAATTTTAACGAACATTTAGCAATAGTAGATATTCGTTAACAATTTTTCTTTAAAAAGAATAAAAGAAAAATGAAAGGAAAAAAAGGACTTTCAGCAGCTTAATATCGTAATAACTGAAATTAATTCAACATGGCCCTGAAAACCAAACAAAAACCAAGCCGTTAATATTTAATGAAAAATATGCGGCAAAATTAACGTGTACCTCTGCTGCACATATGAAAATTATGTATTTGCCGAAGGCAAAAATGCACAGAAAAAAGCAAAACTGAACTAGAAGAGGATGATAAAGGAAGAAAAGTAGGAGGAGAGTGAGAGTGAGAGTGAGAGTGAGAGTGAGAGTGAGAGTGAGAGAGAGAGAGAGAGAGAGAGAGAGAGAGAGGGAACGGGAGGCGGAAATCGTGGATCCGTGAACTTTGCTCCATATAGCGTGTGACGATGACATGTGATAACGTGCGAGGCGAGGCGAGTGTGAGATGATACAGGGGCACACATGCGCGCGAGACATATAACGCCACATGGGGCTGAGAATATTCTTCATCGCTCCGGGGAATTGGACGAACCCGTTTAATAACTGCGGTGCTCTGTGCTCGAGTGGCTCGCCTCAAGGAATAAACTGTCATCGACAAGCGTATGGGGCTGCGAGTGTCGCCCTCCTCGACCTTTCTCATCCTCATATTCTCGGAGGATGTCGCGCAACACTCGACTGACAGCAGTCGTCGATCACACAGTTGCCCTTTTCCACTTTCTCCGATCACTCGCCACTCCCGTCCGATGGGCAATTTAGGGAGGCATCGGCTGGAGCTCGGAATATCGGCTAAAGCCACTTTTACCGTGCATACCTAGCTCTCTCGTTAAGAAGCAAAGAGAGAAAGAACAAATCGGTGTGTACCAATTCTCAATATTATAAACGTTAAATGCGATTTTCAAATCTAGCGGGCAAAGTTTATCTTCGTTTTTAAATAAGAATTTCGAATCGTCGAAAATATAGTCGCGATTTTGATAGTCGGGGGAGCGAACATTTTTACTGCAACTGGCACTGGGCATGGATAAGCAGAATCCATATGTTAGAGATGCCGATACCGTTGATTGTAAATTCGATACAATAGCATAGCACCGAAAGCCTAAAGTATAATACGAATACCACAATATCCAAAATAAAAATATTATTTAGCAAGAAAAGTGAGCTGTGTGTGAATATGCGTGCCGATTTCTCTGTAAGATTTAGCGAATAAATAACTCGGCAATTTCGTCGACCGATCGCACAAAAGCTACGTAACAATATTTTTAAAATTAATCAGCGACATATGAATGAAGGGAAAATTACAGCTAAGATTTTCTTTATTCGTTACTAGGCGCAAAGTGCGTGAAATTCAAACTGTATGTTAAGAATTTGGTTCGATTAAAATCAATCTGATTATATTAATAATATTATGTATAAGTAATGTTTCTGAAAATTATGATTTTTATACAAACTAAAAAATCGATAAAATTATCTGTAAAATTATTATTGTTTGATTGATGGGAAAGAATTTTAAGTTTTTACTTTCATAATCAATAGATAGCTAAGCGAAATATAGAAACATTCTTTAATTTATTATTAAAAGATCAAGGCTCGGCTATTAATAATAATAATATCCTGGAAATTTAATTTAATGTTTAAAATAAGCATGGATTTTATTATCACCAAGGCATTCGCATCTATATGTACCAGCAATTGAAATTTGTATTTATAACTCGCCAATACCGACAAAAGCGATACAATTAATTTATTTATACGATTTCCAAATATCTCGATCATATCATCCGATAATTTAAAATAAAGAGCATAGATTCAGCAATTGCTTCGCCCGACAATGTTTTGTCAACATAGCGCATAATTAAATGCCAAATTGACGGATACCGCAGAGAGTAGCGTAGCGAGAAATATAAACATATAACGGCATACACGAGATGGTTGGAACGGTGGGAAAAAAAATGAATATTTCGAGGGAAAATGCACAGCTTCCAGTTGAGTGGCCAATAGCCAGACAAGTCGTATCCTTTTTAACAGTTTATAATGACGAAGTGAGTCGAATGAAATGAAGAAAAAGAAATAAAATAAAACTCGGAGAGAAGTCGTAAAGATAAAATGTGAAATAAGCATTTAGATGCAATGGCACATTGGAAAGCCCGAGCGGGCAGTTTAATATTTGCCGGTCGCGAGGGTAAAGCAAGCGCGTATGTTAATTGGAGAGCCGCTCGATTAGCATTTCTCGTGATCCTTTGGCTGGCGCGGGTTATGTGCGAAGGTGCGCGAGCGCGTGTGTGCGTCTTTGCTCATTTTTTTGTGCGACTCCTAAACTAATTGTCGCCATAGCGGCGACACTTTTGCCTTTTAGGTCACGTCGTTACGCGACCGTTTGTATACACAGTGTGTATACAATGGCGTGCCGCATGATTATTGCAAAGCAGGAAACACTCGCCTCGATCAATGCCGCTATCGCACCCGCAGGTTCTTTATGTCAATTTTACATCGACTGTGTCTCACTGTCTCACCTTATGCCTCTTTTGTCTCGATCGCTCTCTCTCTCTCTCTCACTCTCTCTCTCTTACCAGCTCTCTTAATTTCTTAAAAAAACAACATAAAAACAAAACAAAGCACCGATTATTTTCTCTGATAATGGTAATAGCAATGTACCGATTACCTGTCACTTAGCTCAAAAAATATCACTGTGGTATTCGATGTGCGGTAGTCGACCGTATATGGTACTTATCGTTAAATCAATTCCATTCTAAGATTCTTATGATAATAGAAATTTTTAATTTTATTTTCATATTGTTTGAAAATCGTTTGCATCATCTTAAAATTCAATAAAACTTCTACCTTTAGTCAACAATCTATAATTATATTGCATCGAGATTAATTAATTAATCTTGCAAATATATTAAGAATATTAATTGTGATAGGATTTAACATAACACATTTTCTAATGATACGATTATCAGTATTTTATGATTTCCTGGCATTCGCTCTTTAATCAGTGGTGATAGTTTTCGTTCATTTCTTCCTTTATTTCTTATATCTAAATATAAAATTATAAATAAATGTATGCCTAAATTTTTTAAAAATTAAGGAAATTAAATTCATTAGCATAAAATAATCAATGACTGTATTTTTCAGACAGTAATAACAATTTTAATACATAAATCTATAAATTTACATAAATGGTATTTAGAAATATTATTAGATGAACCTTTAATAAGCTTAACACTATATAAGAAATTGGAATTCAACGACACAGTTTACTTTCTACATTAAAGATTTTTACATACAAGTTATAGTATCGTATTATTTGGTAAATTGAAAAAAAAATTTTTTTATGGCACCATATGAATTCCTATTTTGCTTATTATAGAACTATTGATATTAAGGAAGAATAATATATGAGCTTCTTTTCAGAAAAATATGTCGAATATTCAACAAAAATATTTTATTTGCAAAACGTGAGAGTATTTTTATCTACTTACAAGTGATATAACTTTTGAATTTAAAGATTAGTATCGTGTTACATAAATTCTTCACGTTGTATATAAAATATTAAATTAATCAAGTACCATTAATACTACAATTTGTGCGGTAAATCTCGATCTGAAAAGAATTTACACAAATTCCACAATCTATACCCATTAATTTTAATAATAAAATATTTATTTTGTTCATATCTAAAATGAACATTGCCACATAGCTTATTCATTTATCGTACCACGTATTTTAGAAATATTTTTCTTTCTAAAAATTTAATTTTTATGGAAAACATTCCATTATATTTTCATTTGTTTTTTCTTCATTTAAGAGATATTTTTAATAAAAATATTTTATTCGTCTCCCGAATTCACATTCTTTATTTGAATCTTCGATTTAACAATTGTTTTTAATTTATCGGTACTATATTGCGAAGCTCTTGGTCAGCGTTCAATGCAAAATATCTCTGTTATAATCTTCAAGTTTTATTATAAACTTGATGTTATCATTCCAAATACACAATTTAAATTAGTTTTGAAATTTAAATCTTTCTTAGCCGTACAAAAAATTATAAAGCAATAGAAATTTATATATATATAAATGTTAAATTGTAACACTTTAATTTTACTTTATATCATATAAGATCAAACTTATCAAAATTAATACACACTCTTAATGCACAGAAACTTGGCACCATTCATTCTTTTCCTGCGGCTATTAATTATTATTATAATAACTGAATTACACCTCGCACTCTCCTCGCTCTATTCAATATTTGTTGCGAATGAAGTTGCACATCGTACGTATGCAATACCAAATTGTGATACCAGTTGCTCATAAAAACATATATAGCTACCCAGATCCATTATTCCATTTTCATTACGTTTATACTTTACGACGCGAGGCTATAACACGTTACGTCGTCCTCGACAAAGTCTGACTCTCTGTAATGGTACGATAAAGCCTTTATCAACGCACTTAATAATACATATATGTATAGACAATATTTTGATTTCTCGAGAAGAAACAGTGGTTATAGCAATGATTTTCGGTATTCACATTTCCATCAATTTCAATATTCTTTATAAATACTAAATTGTGAAGTACACTTATTATTGAAATTTTTTATTATCTCGTCCTTTAAGTATATTATAATGAATCATTTATTAATGCTACAATAAAATTGAATTAATATTTTCTGTAGCAAATTATGCATTTGAATAGTATTTGAATTACATAAATATATATATATATATATGTATAGATATATTTTGTTTAAATTATTTTACATTTATTTCTTAATATTTATTTGGTATTTGTATAAATTAAATTTTCTTTCTATAAACTTTTCGAAAATTGATCGAAGGAATTTTCATTTAAACAAATTTGCCTTATCTTTGAGCTAAACACAGTTGGTTTAATTAAACATTCTTTCATTTAACTCGCATAAGTAAATTGATATTAATTTTTCACAATTTAAGACCACGATTTTTCATATACTACAAAAACTTTCATTTAAATTATGTTCATTTATTTTATTAATTAAAGGAAATTGTTTTTATTTGCTATTTGTAATTTAATGTAATTTAATTAATTTAAGTTTATTATTTTGTTTACCTATTTTTCATTGTCATTTACAATTGTTTTAATACTAATGTTGATTTTATCATAAGTGCCATATTATAAATTACTCAAATCGAGTTTCAAAAATGTTTTATGGTAATGATATCCCTTTAAAATAAATTGATCTAATATTCATCTTTCATTAGTATTTTTCATTATATATAGATCGAATGACTCTGTAGTATTTTACGTTTTAGTTGTTATAAACGTGCTTTGAATTTTAATGAGTATATATTGGGTTAGAAAGTCTGCTTATTAAACAGTAAAGCTTATCTTAATATATGTAATGAGAAATAATGCAAACGTTGTAGGAATACATACATCCTACTATTTATAGGTATTGTTTATTATTTATTGCACTCTGTGTTATAAATAAATAATATTTGGCAGATCTTTTTGTTAATTCAAATTACGTTTGATGTAAAATTTTTAAAAATTTTTTCTAATAATACTCAATAATGAAATTAATATCACGTTAATGATTTGTAAAATTAATGGTACAAATTATTGACAAAACTATTTGATTACGTATGATTAATAATTTTTTTTTCAAATTGATTATTAGAATTTGTATTTATGAACAGAGCAGTGTAAAAGTGTTGAGATAATTATTATTTTAAAATATTCACATGTTTTGTAGATCATTTGACTTGTTTAAATATTCTAATTAGTCATTTAATATTTGCATTTTACCTTTTTATGTCATTTAAATGTATTTTCATATAATTTTACATAAAAAGACATTAAAAATTATATTAAAAATATTTAACTATACAAAAAATGGAATATTTTAAAAACATTAAAAAATTATAGATGATATTTTGAAGGAAAAATATACAATTTAAAACGCGTTACTTCTATTTATGTAATTATTTTTTTAATTAAGTTTTCATTTGTTTATTTTATATTATGAAATTATATCTTACTATATTATTGTAAATAAATATTTTTCTTAAAATTTACTTTAATTTTTCTTGTAAAATACGAATTACAGTATTCTTTTCCATTACTTTCTTCACCTATGTATTCATTATTTAAGTAATAATATAAATTTGCTTATCAATTTTTTTTCAAATGCTATATTCTAATTTATACATTATTTTTTATTCATTTAATAGCATTAATATATACAAAGTATTATTTTCAATTCAATCGAATGTTCCGTCGTCTAAATCTAAAATTCATTATTCAATTTCTTGAGAATTTAAACAATTCTTTACATTATCATTATAATTGTTTGGAGTCATTTCCTTTAATTTGACATAATTATTTTCCCTAAATACTATATGTTTTAATGATTTCAAGTTGTTCAGTTCAAACTTTCGAAACTTTAATGTTTTAAAAAACTCTCAAAATAAAACAATGTAAGTGGTAGTATATGTGTTAAATTTAATTATTTCTGCATTTGTACTTTGTGTTAAGATAGTTCATTGTATATTTTCATTCTAATAAAAAAAAATAAAAAAACTTCCCTTCAAATTTATCAGTGATCTATTTTTATATTGTAAAAAACAGATAACTTATATTTTTATTTTTAATATTTTGGGAATATTAATTTTACTTTAGAAGACAAAAATCTTCTTCATTTACATGAATCACAACATTCCAATGGCAAACTTAAAAAAACAAAGAATCTTTTAAAATTTTTCAGAATATAGTTCGAGAACAGTACGTTTAAAGAATAATTTGTCTTCAAGTGTGACATATCCGGACAGTCAATGGTCATAGAAAATCCCGGAAATTAATGTTAAAATGGCTCGAATGTATACGTGCAATTTTTTGCCAGTTGCTGGCCAAGTTTATTCGGGCTTCCTTTATCAATGTTTGAATGTATAATTTTCTGGAAATATTTCTCTTTCTTTTTCTATTTTTTATGCTTTAGAATTTACCAATACTATCGTAATTTCCACAATAAACTAGAGAAGTATGTAGAAAAAATAAAACTAATAAATTAAAAAGGTTATAGCTATAATAAATAAAACTATATTATCACAATATTCAACAATTATTTTATAAATATATCGTAATTATAAAATTATTAACTTTATTAAATAGAATATCATTAAATAAAAGATATTTTTAGTCGTATTCATAATATAATAAATATTACCGATACTGTCTAATAGGCAGAAAAGTTCTCTGATGTGAATGAATTCAAAGTTGCTTAGCATTAAATGAACACTACTTTAACCTTCGTTTGGACTATTACTTTTACAATGAAATAATTAAAATAAATTAAAATTTATAATCCAATGTATAAATATTCCGTATTCTATAAAATATCACAATGAGATTTACAATTTATTGGACAAAACTCAAATAAATAATAATTTAATTGTCAAATTTTAGATGGTATTTGCTAATTT